GACCTTTTTTGCCATCTCCATCCACTCGTTGATGGCTTTTGATCATATACTGGCGGCAAGTGACGGTCCGGACCGCTAGCTAGATCAGGAGTTCGACCGCGGCCTCGCACCGTCTCAGCTCCAGGGACCGGGCATCACGGCGCCGGGGGTGCCCGGAGAGCGCCCGCTCGCGCGCGAGGAGGTGTGAGAGCTGCGGTGGTTTGGAAGGCTCAAAGCTTCCTGGAAACAAGGAATTAAGGAATGTGCCTTAAATGGATCCATATGGGGTCTTCAATGGTCATGTCGTGAGGTGCAGATCTTTGGGCTTAAATTCGCTTGAGGGCGAGTAGGGCTGTGGTCAAATCTTAGCCATTTGGGTGTGTCCGAGCGGTGAATTCAGAAGAAGGGTTTCCTCCATGGCCACCTGAAAACGCAGGGAATCGGCCACGCTGTCCGTGCGTGATGCCGGAGCACCCGCTTTTGTGACTCCCCGTTCGGGGGGAACTCGCTGGCATCGCAAGGCTAACCGGGTTTGCAGAAACCCGCGCTCCAAAATACCCCGCAGCCTAACCGGGCCTACCACAGACTCAAGCAGTTAGCAGTCGGGGCTGGCATTTGATCGTTGTTTCAATGAACAACCAACTTAGGTCCGTAAAATCACAGCTGCGTCGAGATTCAAGAGCACACCACCAGAACGCGGGCTCCGACAATTGCACGGAGCAGGGCATGTTTGACATTTGCTATGTTAGCTGGAAACTGTTTGGCTTCATAAGGCCATCAAATGGTTCGAGCGTGGTTTGTATTGGCAATCGAACTTGAACTTGGGCTTCAGTCATCCAAACGGCTTTGGTTCAGACACCCAAAACGGTCCAGGTCGTCAAGAATTTGACTCAACCAAGCAATGTGTTTTCTATTTTCCTGGTAGTGTGACCAAGAAGTTCAGGTCCTGCTGTATTGTAGCTAGTTGGACAACCAGACGTTCTTAGCTACTCGAGTCGCTTTGATTCCTGGAAGAGCCTGCGCAAACTCACAGTAGTATTTCTGCTAGGTTTCCTGGAAGAGCTACTGCTCCTATCAAGACGAGTTCTGAAGATGCGTACTTTGGTCCAAAACCTGACCCATCGGATGACCACATCCAGACCATACAATGACATGTATGGAATAATTACCCCCTGGATTATGGAATATTACATACATTGAATTGGGTCATGAATGATGGTCAGAGTATGTCAGAGTATTAACTATTCCATACATGGAGTGTTTGGGGTTGAACATGTTCTTTCTCAACGATTGGCTGATCCAAAAGCCTTGGAACCCATCAATGGCCTAGAAGGCCATCCTTGGTGAATCAAAAGAGGGGAATCCCCCGGTCGTGCACAACAAGTCTCTATTTGGTCAATCAATCCCTCGTATTTTCGCAGAAGGACATGATCGTTGTTTCAATCGAGCTGAAAGGAGATCTGGACCATTCACCACGGTTTCGCGTGGTACTCGACGAGATCCAGCGAAACCAACCAAAGTTATCCAAAGTTTTGGTCGCAGTTTGCAAGGACACCAAACCTCAGAAGGCCATCCGTGTACCTCAAAAGGCCATCCAGGAGTAAGGGGTGCCGAACGAACGGAGGATAGGGGGGACCCCTGTCACATCCACTCACTGGAGACGAGCCAACCCACCCAGCTCCATGTGACTCCTGGTACGTATTTCCTTTCTCTTTTGAGGATCGGGTGAAGAACTTCTGGTGGTGAGTGAATCCCCGAAGCTGCAGAAAGAGCCAACCCACCATTTTCTGGGACTTGGGACCAAGAAGTCCTAGCATCGAGACACCCCTCCCCGCATTCGAGACGCCAGGCCGCTGGGTCCGGGTTCATCGTGGTTCCAACAACCCAGACACTCCGTGTACTACGACCCCTCAACTCAGCCACCCCAACTGACTTCAATATGGCAGTCCCATTGGGAGCGGGTTGCGAGGTGATGCCAATGGTCCTTTTTCCCGCTGTGCGTCAGTGCGCCAAAGAGAGCGGGTGGAGCGGGTCAAGGGCGACGGACGTCAAGTGGAGGGCGGGCGCCCAAATCAGACCGGTCAGACGTGCGATGACTGTTCCAGCTTAATGTCGACGTAGGATTAATCACCCTCCCCTTCAAGGTTAACAAGGGGGAGGTTGCTTAATCCTGTGTCAACATTATATATAGTCTTTTTACATGTTTCACACGTGTCCAAGAACCTTGGACCTTGGAAAGAGGCCTCGGACCAGCAGGGGGGGTGCCCCAGAAATGCCGGTGCCCCTTGGTGCCTCGTGAGGTACGGCAGTTGCACCCTCTCCTGGTGGCGATCCTTGAGAGAGGTGCACATATCGATCCTTCGGACCGCGCGCGGGCGCGCGAGCTCGCGGGCGATGCTCGGAAAGGAGGAGAGCTTTTCTACCGCCAATGACCCACATCAATGGTCAGGTGTGAGCCTCGGGTCACCAGCTGCGACCGTTTTGGGGCTGACCGGGAGTTTCATCAAGGCGGGTGCAAGGCTGTTCGCCTCACGTTGCACACGCACCCGCTGCACCGCTGCACCTCCAGCTGGCCCAATGACAATGTCCTGGCCAGGTTTTTGGTTTCTCCAATGTCCTGTTCCATGTCCAGATGGACGAATATATAGCTTATCAGCTTCATCTACGATCTTAGTTGAACTGTGCATCTTCATGTCTCTTGCTTCAGTCCCTCTTAGTTGACTGTTTGAGCCGGTGGTGGGAGCAAGCTCACGGAGCAGGTGCTCATGAAGACGCACCCGCGCCAGCGACGGGAGCGGTTGAAAGAGTTGTTGGAAGCGCTGGGGAGCCCAGATGAGGAGGAAATCTCTCCTACCGAAAGGTGGAAGCACCTGCAGTTGGTCTGACTTTGGGGGGGATGGCTTTCCACACTAAGAACTGGAAAAAGGATGAACATGTTTGTAATTAACATATGTTTGTTTCCAAGGCAAGTGAGCTTTTGTGGAATTTGCTGGTGGAGCTGGTGAAGGGTCGTGGTTCTTGCTTTATTCGCTGCTGTCTTGGAGCAGTTCTCCACAGTTCCACCACACAGCGAAAGCAACGCCTTTTGGCATGTGGCCATCCTATTGGTGTAACAGATTGAAATGTGTCAAGAAATGGGGAGACAGAACCATGATCATCAATATAGTGATAAGACTCCAGAGGTACTCCGATAAAGGATGGAGTGTCAATATCAAAGGATGCAGTTATGATGTTGTTGTCTTCGCAACGTGTCATCTTGGGTCCTTCGCCACTTCCGTGTGACCTCCACAACTTCCAGGTGACCTCAGCAGGCCAATGCCATCCCCCAAAAAGTGTTGGGTCACAACTTCCCAGGATGTTTCCAGGATTGGTCCGAGTCCAATGGATTTGCCAGCGGGATTTGCATTCCCCTCGAAACAGAGCCCTTCCATGGGGGTTCCCCGGGTCGTCCGACCGGTTTGTGGCCTGACCGGAGGGGGGGTCATGGGTCCGAAAGGATCCTTTCAGCAGGTCCCAAAGCATTCAAAAGCCCGGGAAGTAGCTCCGGAATATATGAAAAGGCTACTCGCACCGCATACCGTATGGTGATCCAGGGTGGTCATCTTGCGGAGGGGTTGGGAGTCCTTGCTTTAGAAAACGGTCGTCCAGGCCTTGCCTTGCTCCGAAAAAGGCCATGCTGGGTGTTGAAATCACCATAAATCACAGTACAGTCATATAGCGACTATATTTTATACTATTTTACTATAGAGGTCTTTCGCTTCAAACAGTTGCCATCCCCCAGCATCCTCCAAGGCTGTGCAGAGGTCCAGTAAAAACACATCTCAGCACAGGAGGTTTTGTTTCTAGCAGGAGGTTCCGGAGGCCTTTGGTAAAGTATGAAAAAGTAACGAAAGCCCGCTGACAGGCTCCCGCATACTGGTTTGTGCCAGCATTCGTTCTTCCTTTCTCAGGTACTTCTAGAGGTTGCCCAGGAAATTGCCATACTTTATAGGGATCTTGAGAACCCCCTCTCAAGATACCCTTCTGTGGCAGATGTTTCAGGGAGACATCAGCTCCCATCGCTGCCCATGCCCAAAACATCGTGCCGTATACCGCGCAAGGACGCAGCTGCTCGGTGAACACGGTCGTTCGGTCCATTTGGTCGGGCTCCACGTCATGGATTTCATTCCGACCCCTGAGTACTCAACACACACACAAAATGCGTCGATTGGACGGAGGATGCTGGGTTTTTGGGGCCAGTCAGTCTGAGACGACCAGTGTTCACAGATTTGGGGTGCTGTCCACGTGTTTCTCAGGATGCACATCTTTGACCAGCCGCATTTCATCATGGAGCCACTCGACCGCTTGACCGGCGCTTCGCTTGGGGCTAGTTTCGGGCGGCACTTGGTAGGGTGCCGATTCTCCTCCACGCCTTCCTGCTGTTTGCTTTTATTGTTTTCTTTGTCCTGGAACATTTGTTTAAGCATATGTCTTATAGTTTTGAGATATAGCACATATTATCAGCGCCGCCTTCTACTCTTTTTTCATTTTTTTCCAGGCCTTGATGGAATCTCCATGAGAGGGGAACTATATCATATACGATCACTCCACACTGGCTTTTTGTCTCAGGTTTGTTGCTTTGAACACTTAGCGTGCAAAAGCTTGACGCGGCTTTCAATCGCGTTTGGGTTGTTTGACGTTAGGGGTAGAAGACGTTGAGCCGTTCTTCTCGGAACCAACACCTGAAGGATTTGTTGGACAAGTCAGAGTGCGCTTGCACATCAAAGTTGGTGATTGGAGGAGAAATGGTTTCAGCAATGGGTGAACCATTGGCTTGGGCTCTAAGAATTTGGATTCTCAACGCCATCGCCCGGCTTTTTCTCCCATGACTTGTTCACTGGAATCATTGTCCGCGAAGGGTTTCGGCTCAAGTAACGGTTTGTTGGACAGATCGACTGTTTTCATGTGTTTTTTCTCCCACACGTGCAGGTCTTTGCATACAATCCACCTGAGATGTCAGGGCTCTTGACATATTTTGGTGTGATTTGATTGGTGAGGAATTTACCTCACACACCTTCAAACTCCGATGGAGGTGGCACGCGCGTCGCCATGGCAGCGAATGGAATCCACGCGGCACGTTCGTCTCTTAGGAGATGCGCTGTAGACGTGAAGAGTTGTTCACCTTCAACCGTGAACTGGTTCGGAGTTTGGATTGTTGGAAAGGACAACAGGTCGTTCCAATTATATGATCCATATGGCTTTCTTAAGATCCTTTACACAATGATGTTTGGGGAAACATGCCATTGGTTTCTGGTTGTGTTGGGGAAACATCAGACCTCCAAAAAGCTGCTTTATAACTATTGCCCCTGGAAACCCACCAGGCTGGACTCTTCTATTACCACAATGTGGCCACCAACGAGACGCAGGCGACGTCCCCGGACGGTTGCGGTGGCGGAGACGGACCGGGCTCCGGTTCGGGCTCCGGGTTCGGCCGACGTCGCCGTCAGGCCGAGCCACCCTCTCCCTGGGAGAGACGCACCTCTCGACGAGATCCGAATGTCTTCTACTACTGGACCGGAGCTGTTCAGCCCTTGGGGCCACTGGCGGGTTGAGCCGGGTTGAGCAAAAGTACATAGAAGTACCGAAGTACTGGAGGCTCTGGGGGCCGCCAGGGAAGTGATGATCTACATGATCGTACCGAAGTGAGTTGAATAACACCTTGAAGTATAGCTCCAAAGTGTCTCATCTTTCGCACAGGTTCTTGTGGGCCTGAGGATGTACTCGGTCGGATTCGACCGAAGAAGTGCTTTAAAGTAAATCCTCGGTACTCCAACTAGGAAGGACCTACTGTAGTTCTAAGAGCTCCAACTACCATCGGCACACACTTATGATTTTTTTGTTCGAAGAGGTTCGAACCATTTCGAACCTTTATTTCTCTCTCTCTCTCTCTCTTTGCATCTAGTTGCTATGTGCCCTACACACTAAGCCTGGCAGCCATGGTCCGCTTGAAATGCCAAAGATTGCCAAAGGGGGCGCTGAACTCGTTGCCACCTGCTGCCCGTTGCTTCTGTTCCAAGCTGCTTTCGAGTGATAGAGACAGAGCCGTGTCAGGCCGAGTGGCCCTTCTTTTCAGAGGACGAGACCAAAAGTGACAATAAGTTGACGAACTTAAAGTGCAACGTCGCAGAGCAGTTGTGTGTGGGCTGAAGGTCATCAGCACCCAACTGTATTTACAGAAAGTTTGTGTGTGTGGTTGATGCGCACAGGGCACAGAGTGCCCAAGTACAAGCTCGCACTGCACAGTTTGCTAAAGGTTCCTAGCTTCCCCTGTTTTGCATCTTAACTTAATCATGCTCAATCCAGGCCCAAGTCTTGCTTTCCAAAGTCTGGTGACTGCGTGCTCCACCGTTGTTGCAATGTTCTTTTTTACACCGTGCAGTCAGAGTCGCAAAAAGAGTCCGTGAAGTAAACATGCTGTGAAACAGCTTCCAGCTTTTCGTTGAGCCTCACCAGTTTGGGTGCGCTGTCTTCAGTCCACCTAGCACTTGCCGCTTGGCTCTTGATCTTCACTTCTTGAAGACGACCCTTGCGAGCCCTTGCCAGAAGGAACCCTGGCTAGATGCCATCCAAATAGCTAGCCGATGTATCATGATCTATCTCCCACAATGACGTCTCAGCAGCTTGTGATTTGGGTTCCCCAAAACATTCAAGCAGGTGGCCTTTTCCACTGTGATGGACAAAACATTGACCATTCAGCATCGACCTCCCACTTTTTCTTCCTGTTTGGTTCATTATCATTAGCCAGAAAGAAAAACATTCAGACCTCAGTGCAAACAGCGCCCTGGCAAGAGCACACGCCTGTTCCGACAGTAAACACCCAACATTTCCCAAACAGCCCAAAACGCTCACTTCACCGCTCCCGGGCCTCCTGGGTTAGAGTAGGAATAGAGTGAAACATAGTGCAACCAGAAAAATCAAGATTACAACGTGCTCATGAATCAAATGGTTCAAATGATGCTGCTAATACTCTCCTGGACCGGAGAGAGAAACTCGAACAATGCAGTACAGCTGCAGTAGTCGCAAGTCATACTAATAGAGCATTCAGAAGTGTTAGCTGTTTTACCCAATGGGCATTGAAGCAACTCTACTAGAGTAGGAGTAGTCGCGGTTGTAACTGGTGGGAGCAACCTTCCCAACGTTCTGCTATGTTCTGCTCTCCAGTTGTTCTGCCCCCTCCAGGAATCGTGATACGGGCGAGACTTCTGTGGAGAAGCCAGAGATTACAGTGAGGGATGCTTCAGCAGATCCAGAGCCAGCCTGAGTGTGGCTGCAAAACTTCTGGCTTGATTTTTCTTCAACAGGTTTTCTTGCCAGTGGAATTGTGTCCTCTGAGAGGCGCCCCAAAACCGCTGCGCGACATCTTGTGAGCCCCGTTGCGCGCAGACAAAGAAGTGCTTTTTCATCATTTTTCATCCGACTCGTTCAGCCATAGGTGACTGGATGCGACGTGATGTTGGAAGACCCGAAGCAGCCACAAACAAGGGGATTCTGACAGTTTCGTCTGTTGGAAGACCCGGGGCAACCTGCTATGACGAATGACATTCTCGCGTCATCTCACCCTTGGCTTGTAATGAATTACTTTGTACCTCTGGTGACGAACCGAATCTTAACAACTTACGGGTCATGCATCTCCGCAGTGTGGTTTGAAGACTTAGCGAGCGTGTTGTCCTTCTTGACTCTGGCCGTTTTAATCCATGTTTACAAGGCCCTGCCTCCCAAAGTACCCAGACATGAGCCATGGGATTGGAATATATGCATGCATTGACCCCAGGTCAACCAGTCCCATAGAAGATTTGGGGTATGCCACCCACTCCAGATGGGTCAAACCGGCCCACCACTTCATCGACTCACCCCCCGGATTCCGCCCGCCGGGACGCGCCCGGGCGACCGGGCATCCCCAGGTGGGCGTCCTGGCCCTTCGGCGAGCACGCGCGCAGTCGCTGGGCGAAGGCGCCTACTGGTCAGAATAGATGCCGCAGAAGGACCCCAGGTCCAGCAAAGGAGGCGCCAGCAGATGCCAGTCCCATGGAATGTTTGGGCTCAACCTCCCAAAAACCGCACCACCCAGTCATCCAACCGAAGGGAGGGAGAAGGAACGGATCCATCCTTCGCCCGAACACGAACGGATGCACCGCCGAGTGGACGTTTTCTTTTTTGTCAACTGAGTGTTCATCGAGTCTTCTGTCCCAGCTGGGCCAAGTACTGTATCCCAGCGTGCTTCGGAAGGGAAACCTTGGACCCTCCGGTCGAAACGGTTCTGAACGGAGGTACTTGAGCACTGCAAACGGGTCATGTCAGGGATCCATTTGCAGTGCTGCTTGGGTGAGACCGCTCTGAGAGGTTGTTGAGCAAACGAATGGAGTGAGGGTTTTGCAGTTTTGGTTGGGTCCTTGTAGCAGAGTGTCGCATTTGTTACTTTGCATGTCCTGTTGACTGTGCATGCTGCATGCTGCAGTAAAATAGTACAATGTTAACTTCAGACCTGTACAACGCTTGACACGAATAAATAATCCCAGCAGTAAACCGAGAAGAGTAAGGCGCCTGAGTCTGTAGCAGGACACGGCACCCTATGGAAAAGAAAGAGCAGAGTCAAGAAGGAAAGTGTTCAGAGAAGAGTTCCAGACTTTGAGCCAAGATACTAATGATCTATGGTAACCATGGATCATTTCCAAAAGTTGAGCACGATGTGTTGATGATCGATTTCTTTTGATTTAGGCACGACCCATGGCCCAGAACACCCATGGGACTGGACAAATATATGCCGCGCCCCATTACCCCCTCGTTTCAACCACCCCGTTTAGTAGGCAAAGATGCCAGTCCCATGGAGTGTTTGGGATGGCACTTAAGCCCTTGCTTCGGCGCCCAATTCAGCGCATTCGGTTGCATGGTGTCAAGTTGAGGGCTTTGGGGGATTTCGAGTCGAAATCCACGCGTCCGTTCTATGGATTTATCAGGATCTTTATTCACCTGGATCAGGTAAGAATGCAGCATGCCAAACCAGTACTCCATAAAGGTTAAGGACTTGGTCCTTGGGACTGGGCGGAACACCATGCACGTCTGGAGCGCGTTTGACCTGCAAAGCTCACCGCTGGGTCGAACGAATCAGCACTCGTGCACTGCACTGTGGGCGTCGTTAGGGCTCAAGTCATCGTCGGGTTTGAGACGAGTCGCTGAGCAGTTGCTGCTGACCAGGTTCCTATGAGACATTCTGAGACCCCAACATGTGCACTCAGCCAGGAGTCACAAGACGGGGTGCTTTTGAGTCCCATCCAGGGCGAAAGTGGATGTGACAGGGACACCCCCATCCAGCTCTGTGAGTCCTGGAGAATCGCCCTCTCCGTGTTTCTCCCCGGTCCGAGGCTTCCAGAGCTCCACCGCTCGCTTCCACCGCTCGCTTCCACCGCTCGGTGTCCTCACGACGCGACGCACGACGCGACGCGTCCAGGGCTGTGATGATCCAGGCGCTTTGCGCCGCGAGGAGCGGTGACCTCCGGAGAGCGCCCGGGGGGGGATGGGCCTGGATCGTCCAGCGGACCCTGCGACGCGACGTTTCTTCAACCCAAACAAAAGGAGTCTGGGCAACTGGGTAGGAGCTCACCCAAACTCACCCATGGGAAGTTGACCAGACATTTGGTAGTCTATTCTGTTTCAGTCTCTATGGGCAAGCAGGGTTCCGGGGTTTTGACCTGCTGCCCTTTAGTTCTTCAAGGACTTCCAATGATACTTCCAAGGATATTGATATGTATTGATGCAACATGGGGGTCCCAGCAGCAGCATCACCAGCCTCCGACCTCGAGATTACGTGACCTTACACCTGGAGCGCCGATGTATGAGCTGAGCGCGCCAGGAGCGCAGCGGGAACCCGGGCAACTCCGTGGACCTGCTGGAGTTCGCCCGGACCGACAGGTGTTTTGTGTGTTTCATTACTTGGTTGTTGAGGGCTCGAGGTGACTAGCTTAGCTTAGAAGTACTCGGCTTAGCTTAGTTGTTGTTGCTGTTTTTTGGTTGCTGCTGCTGCTGCTGCTGCTGCTGCTGCTGCTTTTTTGGAGTTGTACTATAATAGATGATAATCTACGACAAAGAATGGGCGAACAGACAACGGTGAACCACCGGTGGCGACATCGTTTTTTGGGAGCCTCCAATTTGGAAAACACACAGCCAACAGGAAAAGCAAGGTGAAAACAGATGTGACAGACCCCCTAAGAGACCCACGTGGAACTTGAGTTCGAAATCTGTTTGGCTCACATTGGCTCACATTTCCAATTGATCAAAACTCACACTTCCAAATTCACTTCCAAACCCGTACTACCATCTGATCTCCAAGGTCCTCACACACCCTCACACACACACACACGGACACCCACAGCAATCAACAGGATACTGAGCCACACTCAGCACACACTCAGCCACCTGATAGACCTGCCGTGCATCCCAAAAGTAGACCGGTGACAGAGAGAGAGAGAGAGAGAGACACACAGAACCAAGCAAAGAAAGGCCACAACAAAAAGGATACAAAAGGAAGAAACAGAGAAACACACACACACACACTGTGAATATCTGTGAATGGTCTTAGGAGCTTAGGAGCTTTGGCAGTTGTGGAAGTTCTGACTTCCACCTCCGAGAGTCCACTGGACGTCTGAAACACCATGAGAGACCTGGACCATCCCAGACCTGGGTGTCCTGTCTGATCCCGGATAGTAGCGCAGGGTAGTCCAGCCACACCCAGTGGCCAGGATGGTCCAGGTCTATTCTGAGAAGAGTCTCGATGGTCCGTGGCTCTTGGCACGGACAAGCACTTCACACAAGTTCGACAGCTGAGCAGGCACGCAGGTCCCTATCTGTATCGCCACGAAACCATTGGCGCCTTACGGGGAACCAATGGATCAACAAATAGGAACACAGCTTCAAAGCAGGGTCAGCGAAGAGGAACACCGTTCAAAAGCATGACCAGCAAAGAGGAACACAGATGAAGATCAGGATCAGCAAAAGGAACACCAGTTGAAGAGCAGGATCAGCAAAGGGGAACGCAAGGCAAGTTCAGCAAAGAGTTTTACAGTCTCTGATTGCACTAGCCAAGAAATAGTTCGTTCTCTTACCAGAGACATCCTTTCCCAATGATAACCTCTCAAGTGAAAGCAATGGCAAGCAGGAAGGTCTTAGAAGATCATGGAAGAAACATGCATTGCACACAAGCATGTTCACTCCTCCCAGGACACCTGGAGGATGAAGACCCCCAGGATGGCTCATCCAAGTCACCCGGGCCCGAGTAAATGGAGCTCAACAAAGACAAACGTACTAGTATACTTACTACCAGTGATGCTTTCCAAAAGAGAACAACTCCTTCCTGTTGCCCCACTCGTCGCGTCGCTCGGTCGCCCGCCGGAAGACAACGCGCCTGTTGCGGAACTCGGGTGCTGAGGTAGAGTTGTTCAAAGAGCACGGAGACGTGAAGGTCCACCCCCCCCCCGGCTGGGACCTGGTGGTGGACCCATGGGGTGAGGGGTGAGGGATGATCAGATGTAGAACAAAGTGGCTACGGCATTGCTACAAACACCCAAGCTCGAGCTTCTCTCTTAAAGAGGAAGGACAAAATTTGGAGGATGAATCAATGAAGCCTCCGAAGCTATAAGCTATAAGCTGTTTCACCCATGTTCAAGGAGAGGTTGCCACACGTCAAACACTCCAGGCCAGAGTTTTTGGAAAAGGGTACACTCTAGGACGAATGCTTTTGGGATTGGCACTTCCTGCTCCCAAGTGGCAAAATTCGGAGCCGCCACACCATTGGCTTCACATTGACATCGCCAGTCACACGAAACAGGTCGCCAGCCCATCTGGACCAACGGACCAACGGGTTTCGCTCGCGAGCTCGCAGGGTCGAGTCTTGCGCGTGTGTGGTGGACAATGGTGGACACCTCGCTTCCAATAGAAGTCAGGGTTCTGGGGTGATCAATTGGGGTCCACCCAAACAATCTTCAACTTTAATCTGAGGAATTTTTCAGGGACGCCCAATGACTGGGACGTCGTTTCCGGGGCACTGCTGTGGAGTTTCAAGGCATTTCAATAAATAAGCAGTCAGGTCAGGGAACAAATCAGAAAACGAACACGGAGGTATACCTGGAGCTTCCAAGATGTGTCAAATGGATCAACAAGTACTGTAGGGTGGTCTCTTCAAATCCCAAACGGATGGTCCATGGTCCTGGGACTAGTCTTGAGTCAGACTTGCTGGCGACCGCGATAAAAGGTTCCCTTTTTTTCGGAACCATGTCTTGAAATTGTATATTACTAGGAGTGACAAGACGGGGTGGTGTGGTGTTTAGTCCCATACAGGGGTGAGTGGAGTAGCTGGGAACCCCTACTGTAACCTCCATAGATAGCTGCACCCCGTCTTGTGACGAGGACATGGGTCCTCCAACAGCCCCAACGGGGCCAAGGCATCGTCCTCCAGACGTTCCGACAACAAGACAAACCATGCCCTGCTTGGGCTGGCCGTGTGGCTTACTGTGGCTTCCACAGTGGTCGCATTGGGCCCAACTTCCAGGGAGCGAAGATGTGTGGAACATGTGTGAACCCAACAAAAAGAGCATCAACCCGAATCAAACCCATGTTTCGTCTGCTTTTCACATGGTTGAACCAAAGAGAGCAGAGAACACACTCCAGTAATATTATAAGTTTGGCATATAGTGATTCAGCTGGCTGAACAACACACACGAACAACACCATTACGATATTTATGATAGAAACAGGAGAAAGATGGATCCAAGAAACTAATCCTGCATCCCATCCCTCACGATGCATCGATGGTTTCGAAGCAGACAGCCCGTATTGCAGATCCGAGCACAGGGTTTCAGAGTGGTGGTTCCTTGAGTTATGGCACCGGGTTCCAAGGTATTGAGTACCAGGGGCCCTCAAAACCATGAAAAACAACGATTTTCGCATGCAACAACCATGTTTTTTGCTAGGGAAAAACCATGTTTTTGATGGTTTGTGGGGCCCCTGGTAGTCAACAATCTCTATAACAGCAAGAAACAGTCCACAAAAGTCAAGTGCATCGGTGTTTTTCTTTTTTTAGTGCGCTTTGGTTGCCATGTTTGTCGATATTTTGTCGAGGCGATGAGAAACGATGGTGGATTCCCAGAAAAAGAATTACGCTTCGCGTCGCGTTTGGTCACATGGCGCCATGCTCCCACGCATCACGGTGCCGCGCGTGCGCATTGCGGTGCTTGCGGTGCTTGCAGCCGCAGAGGAGGTGGAGAGACGCGTTTTTGTTTTCCGCTTTCGGTGTTCTTTTTGGCGTTGTGTGTGTGTGTGTGTTTCTTTAGTGCGTTGTTGGAATGAGTTTGGATTCTCCTTTTCGCTAGCGCCTGGATCTTTTTTCAATGTCAGAGGGAGATGAAGAAGGCAAGTGTAATTAGGCGAGTGTACCAGGGGCCCTCAAAACCATTAACAAAAATGTTTTCACATACAACAACCATGTTTTTTGCTAGGGAAAACCCGGTTTTTGATGGTTTGTGGGGCCCCTGGTGGGGTAGTCTGAGAACCCCGTGGATGGTACTCGTTGGCCTTGAACCTGGCCTCGAGGCCTGCCAAGGGACGGCCAAGGGATGGCCAAAAGGGGCTCACAGAATTGGGGAGGTGAAAGGGAGTCTTGGTCATGTTCGTTGCCCCTTGGCATGCGAAGTCGGTCAGAGTGATTTTCTCGCCATGAAGTTAGGTCCAAGGTGCGGTGTGTCATGGGTGTGTCATGGGACTTAGTTCTTTGGACATGAACAAGGACGACGACCCTCACGCACCACCCTCACTGCCAGGTCTTTCGGAAGTCTGGTCGGGCCGATTTGGGGGCCCCAAAATGGGACCGCAACCAGTGGGCCCCAGGGATTGAGGCATGGGGTTGACATGGATCTTTTCCTTTAGGCGGTTGAGTTTGGGTCCAGGCTTGGATGCTATGGAGGTTGGAGGTTGTTCGTTCGGCCCCTTTTGCGCTTAGATCATCCTGGATCCGAGCGAAACACTTCTGGTTGTTCCGGCTTTCTTGAGGGCAAGTGTGTTTGGGGAAACATGCATTGGTTGGTTGGTGTTTTTTGCCATGATATGTTTAGAACCAGATTGAGAACAACCCCCAGACCAGGATCGCCCTATTGGCGCCAGCTAGTGCGGTGCATCGAAGGTGGAGCCGGAGCAGTTGAAACTTCCGAATGCCCTCACCTGCGGCAACCAGCAGGCGCGGACCGACGGTTCTCTTCTTTTGGCTATGGCTGCAAGGCGGATGGATCCGTCGCCAGCAAGCGTGAGTCGAACAGAGGTGATCATCGCGTGAGTCGACCAATGTTTTCTCCTCTTTGATGCCATCCTTGCAGCTGGAGGGTTTTCTCCTCTGCCATGCGGCAGCTGCGAGTCTAAGGAGTGGGCCAGCGTCGCGGCATCCTTATCCGCGCACCTCAGCGCGAGGGGCCTCAGGCAAACAAACATGTTTTTGAGCGGCTTGGTCGCTTGAGCCCTTGACATCAACAACGCTGGATGCGCCGGATGAGGTCAAGGGGTATCCACACACATGGGTCCTCCATTTCCACCCTCAAGCCCAACCAGTCGTTGGAGCTGCAGCCACCGACCTCCCAGGGCCCGGATCCTACGGATGGCCTGCCGAGCATTTGCCAGCAGCTGGACCGGGTGCCACGCACGTACCGCACGTTGCAGCGGCCCAACCTGAGGTCCTTTCAACGGTGAAATGTGGTGAAACAATGCTGAATGAAACACCTCAAAGGCCCATCCTTCCCCATCCTTCTCCCCATCTGGGCACGGAATCCATGTTCCTTTTTGTGGAGATGTGGCCCGTAGAAGGGATTTTTCCTGTTTGCTCCACAGTGTGCAAGTGTTTGTTTTGGCTGTGCTTAGTTCAGATCAAAACCCTTCCGAAACATTGGATCCGCATAATGTTATTCAAGCTCTCTTGAGCAATGTAGTGTAAAACTTGTGTGCGTATTTTTGCGTATTGAAGGACTGACACCTTCGCAACGGGGAAGGTGATGGAGCGATCACAGGCCATTCCTTCAGTAGATAGACGCCATGAATGAATGGAGTATAACCAAAAGAAAACGACCACCTCTACACATAGGGGTGTGCTTGTAAGGTTGGGACTGCGTGTCGCGTGCGACCAACAACACCTACCTTGGTTTGACTCGGTCGCTGTTCTCGGAGAGAGCCACAAGCCACGTTGCACCGGCCCTGCAGGACTTGGACTTGATCAAGTGGATGGTAGGTGGAACAGTCCGTCGCGTCGCGGTCGCGTCGCGTCGTTTCCTTTCGCACCGCGCCGGGACGGTTGGTGGTAGGTTGGTGGTGTAAGTTGTTGGTGGCACCGGCCCTGCGTGCAGGTTGGGATCACAAGAATTGGAGTGTGGTGCGATAAAAGAGAAAACCACCCAGTTTCATTACTTGTCTCATTAATGCCCTGTTCTAAAATCATGGCTGGCGTAGCCGGATTTTCACATCCACATGACCGCGCCCGTTGGGCAGGCGGCATGCTGCTACAGAAAAAGACACTGGGTGGTGATTTCAGATATTTTATGATGGGACGATTGACCCTGCTGACTCATATTGTGCGTTCTTCCTTGACACCGCCCAACACACCGTTTTCAACACGGCGCAGGCGATGTGTTGAACCCGTCGTGGTCGCCCAATACCTCCGACGCCTTCCAAGATTTCTATGAGGAACGCGGGGACGTCTGGGGGGAAGATGGAGACCCGCCATGCAGAGACCCCAACACGACGACGTGGGACTCTATAGTGCTGCTGCCTACATCGACCCCGGTTCAATCACCCCAAGTGATCGGCAAAGATCAGTTTCATGTGTGTCATTGTTGGGAAAGGAACTGGTTGCTGGTCGCAGTCCATTGTGGCAGGACAGAAACAGGGAGAGTCGCAGCCCCATGGGTTGATGGCGATGGGAAAGGACATGTTCTATGAGTTACTGGGAGTTACCAGGTGTTTTTGATGTTTTTTGCATGTAAAACATTCATTTGAGACTCTCTGAAGGCCGTTTTTTTACCGCTGCCGTTCTTTTGGTAAAAAGATTGTCAGCTGGTCAACGCCTGCAATTGCACTTGTCGGGCCCGTGGGTTTTGGACTACTGTCCTGAGCCATCCATTCCCCAACCACTCGATGCGCTTCACGTGCACGCCACACGCCGCACGCGATGGGGCAGCGAACGTGGATGGGCCCGCGAACGTTCGCAGAGGAGTGGGTGGGAAAAACGACCCCCCTGATTTGATGGAAAACCATCCAGGATCGGGGATTTCCAAGACCCCAAAAATGATTACACAGAGGACGTCTTTTTTCCACCGAGGTCTCACTTCCCCTTTGGATTGGACTACTGTGACCCAGGACCTTCCCAGTGACCGAACTTGAGATCCCAGTGGCTGAGGTCACTTACTGTAGGGCCTTGAAAAGGTCACTTGCCAATCCTGAAGAGGTCACTGGGAAGGTCCTGGACTGTGACTATACTATGACATACTATATGACTATACTTGTATGATAAAACATGATAAAACATGGATTCCATTGCACTCCAACGGGCCAAAAGGGCAGACGTCTACGGCAGGCGACCGTGGATCCTCCAATCTATATCGGGTGATATTGGGCAGGTCGCGTCGCTATGCATCGCTATCCATGGTTTTTGCGATCCTCGCTCAAGGGTAAACTGAGATTCGGCACTTCGTTGCAGAAAGCTGATCCCGTGCTAGGTGGACTTTGCCATTGCCGGGTGTCTAAACGCCACGTGTCCCGTTTCGATGTATTTCAGTGATTTGACTTTGGTGTAGCCAGGAGCAGTACTACTGTGACTCTCGCTTGACCAGCGTTTTGGAGGCAGAAATGCAGGCAGGGACTGCCGCTGTGTGTTTGGGCGAAGACAACTTGTTGCAAATCGACATTCTCAGGCCTGCAAATCCTTCAAGCTTGGCTTTTGGAAGGCGACATATTTAAATCTATGTATGCAGAATTGGCCTCCTGGAGCTGACTAGGTTTGGGCGGTCACAGATCTAGTTGGTCACGATCGAAGCCAGATCTGGGGCAGTTCTGACACGGTGTTTGTGACGCACAGTGATGCCCAAAAATCCGATATAATCCGATCAAAGTAGAACATGTGTTGTCTAAACATCTATCGCAGGTAGGTGAGAGTACGAGGACCTTTCATCGGGTCTATGTGGTTGTGCTTCAGTGATTCAGAATGGGGAGAAGAGTTTAAGTATACATATCGGAAAGTTGGCAACAAAATTTTGGCTGATGACTCCACCTTGGCAAACGACATGGCGTGAGTCAGGCCATTTGCACATATCATCTACCGTTAGCGCTGTACCGGGAGATGTCCAAATTCATTTCGAAACATCTCTTTCCACTTCGCACCGAAGAAAACACCTTTGTCCACTTATGGGGAGTTCTTCAACCGAATTCGACCCGTCGTTGGACTCAGCGAGGTGCCGTGTACTGCAGTGTCTTCAAGTCCGGCAGCCCTGTCTTCGTTGTGGTGGGGACGAGCAAACCAAACCCAAAGGTTTTTTGGCGGGGGGCGCTTCCTTATGCGTTTTTGTTGGATGTGCTGGTCGGTCGGGTGGTTGGCTGTTTGGAATGCCAGTGTTTGGGATCTTCTTCATCTATCTTAAACTGATGTGAGGGAACTGTGAACGTTTGCCAAACAAACATTTACCTTTCTGACCGTTTGCATCCGTTTGCCAAATAAACATATATACCATTCCTGTGCTGGTTGATGTTGGTTGTGTATGATGTGTTCGTTAACTCGGTTGGTTCTGTTTGTTTTGCTTGGCTGGGAACAGTTGTGAAAACTGGAAGGGATTCTGACTTTGTCAAGTTGAGTGTTTGGCATGGTATTGTGAGAATGGATGGGAGTTGTTTGTATATTCTTTCCGATCAACGCTTCTTCCCTCCAACACGCTCCTGCTTAAGGTTTTATCAGACAATATATAATGGGTGCATAAAAAACGAGAGAACGCTTGAAAGCCCGCAGGCTCCTCCGGAAACTCCCCGAGGTACGTAGGTCTTCGAAGGATCGCCGTCGGAGGGCAGAACTGAATGTGTTTATGCAATTTATGGACGACACAATTCTTTTTCGGAGGTCCTTTTTGGCGCGTGCTAAAGCACTATCATCCGCTTCTTCATGTTCGATTTGAGACAAGTCATGATGATATGAAACTGCAGATGATCCTGAAGACAGGTCTTATCAAACCATCAACAAGAACATGGGAGGGTGAACTGACCCACACACCTCAGTCCTAGTCCACAGTCCCTTTTCCATCCTTCTCCCCACTCTACACTTCGCAGGCTCGTCCTATTTTCCCACCCCACCCCACCCCTCAGTCTCAACCGTTCTCAGCGACCGCGCGGTCGTGGGACCCGCGCCCAGCGCGCGGAACAACTCCGACGGAGGCGTCAACTCCTCGAGCTGCCTCTTTGGCTCGGCGACCATCTTCGCGTGCTTCTGCGCCATGCACGGAGCGCCCAGCCGGGCGTCGGCGGGGGCGGTTCCGCAGGCGGTTCCGCGGGCGGTTCCGCGGTAGCGCCGGAGGAGTCGGTATGAGTCGGTAGTGAATTGGGATGCGTTTTCTTTCAATTGGGACTCCCCTTTTATACCTATATAGGTCCCCTGAACATACAGCGCATATTCAGATATAGTCAATGTTTAAAATGGCACGTCGAGATCTCGCGTCTTCGGAAAGATCCACAGCCATCATCCGTCATCCAGTTGTTTGACATGGAATGAAATATCAGGATTGGTGCATCACGGAGTGTCGAAATACCAGTGATGGCACCAGAGATGGTTCTTTTCCTCACCTGTAGCACGCCAATGCGCACATCGTGCTTCACATCTTGGATGAGCCAGTGCAAGGGCATGGATAAGACCAGAAACATGGATGAGATCCGAAGCTGATCTGCCTGTGATCTTCTGCGAAATCTGTGAAGATGAAAGTGAGCTCTGCGCAGATGTAGTGCTGATGAAAACGAGCTTTTCGACGGATTGATACTATTTGACTCTGCAGCATGGGTGGCTTGAATGAAACTGCTAGAGAGGTTGAACTGCCCCACAATTATAGCCTATATAGCCTGACCATTACCTGTAACAGTCAGCAAACAGCTATCACATGTGACTGATATCATATGATCACTATTTTTGAGAAGGCCTGCAACCTAACCATCATCCTCCACTGTTCTTGTGATATGCACAGCCCATTTGTAGCACCCAAACGGGACACTGCAGGTCTCTCGGTCTCTCAACCTCTCTTACGATCCAACGTCCGGTCGATCCAAAGGGAGCCCATGGCGGACGGTGTCGTCGTGTCACCCAGAAAGGCCGTCTTCTTGACACCGGAGCGTCCTTCGAAAACCAGCCGACGTCCTCTACAAGCCCTGGCGGCCAGTGTGTGAAACAGGACGTTTCACCAAAAAAAGACATGAAACACACGGACGTCTGGACGTCTGGAGGGGCCTTTTGCGGTACACAGAACAGACGAGTGTGGTTGCTTGCAGCTGAGATCCGGACCCTTGTCCTCCCGACAGTTCAACGGTCACATCCTCATCGGTCGATCCGAGGATGCTGCGGCATCCCGAGGAGCTGGAGGACAGGTGAACGGAGGGCACCGGTGGGGAGCAGACACGTGGCTTGGGCTGAGCCTGAGAGGTGCCATGCGGACAGCACGGTGAGGTTGAAGCACCAAAGGTGCCAGAAGAACATGGGGTGGGAAGCCCAGGCTCTTCCAGCGTTTCGATTCACCCAGACACAATCTGTCTCCTACCCAGTCAGTGGATAACCTTTAATCTTTTTGAGGGTATGTGCGCATCCATGAAAGTTGACTTCCAATGACACCTGCCAACTGGTCCAGTTTCAGTGAAGCACGTCCATTCGGTGTTTTCTTGCATTGGGGGCGGCCAGGGGCCAGAGATGCAGGCATCGATCTGACAGTACTTTGGATTCTTTGATCAAAATCCGTGGAGCGTGCCATGCAGAATCATGTAGATCGAGACGTAAAAAACACGTTCAACTCTTGTGCTGCTCAGCTCCAAAGTGGATCAACAAAGACCTGGTGCCAAAGCGACACCATGCACCGATCATTTGACTTCGGACCTCCGGTTGCCCAAAGAACATCCATAATTGTGCAGAAGCATCCTATTTGTTTCACGGATCCAAGTTGAAGCCTTGGAGGCTTCAAGTCTTCCTTGTTTTCTCCCGGATCCGTTCCCACCTCCTCTCACCCCATTCCCACCTCCTTTCACACCCCTTCACCTCTTCCTTCTCTTCGCCCGCCGAACACCGCCTCCAGGAGGAGGCCGCGTTGCTGAACCTGCGGCATTCGGCCGCGGCGATGCGCTGGATGTTGGAGTCGGAGCATCGTTGGCTGGAGTTCCTGGACCCTTCGCGTCGTTGGAACCGGCGGTTTTGGACGTCGACCCGATGCGGATCGGTGGAACGGAGCTTGATGGAGCTTGGGATGGTTGCAACGGACCAAACATGACTTTCTGTCAACACAGGTATCTGCTCCAATGCCAAGTGCCTTGGCACTCCGACACAAAAAGGGCTCCGATAGTGGCTCCGATCTATTTCGTTGCAACCCCTGAAAGCTGCTGCAGACGAGGGGCCGCCCTCCCTTTTTTGCGGATTCCGCGTGCCTGTGGGGATAGCCTGAGGACTCCTCAGATTGGCCCATCAACTTGACGGAGGTGGCGAACACTTTAGACGTGTCCTGGATGGAACAAGATTAACAAGATGGTCCAGAAATGAGATGGATCTTCAGTGCTGGGTGATGCCAGTTTTGGCTTTTAAAACATTCTACAGCCACATAAAACCATATAATATATAAGACTCATAAGACCCAGTTGAGATGAAACTCATTATGCCTATAAAGCATCCTAAAGCCACGGTGAGGGGCTGAGGTAGGTAGACTCAGTCTTACCGTCTAACCCTTGTTTCAAAACTGTACAGAGACCTGCCACGTCCTGCATGCCTTCTTTCGCCAATCCTTCCGATTTCGGGAAGGATTTCGTGGTTTCCACCGGGCCCGCCCGGTCCACTTGAAGCATGCTCAAACCCAAGCAGGCTGGACCTGGCATGATCCGGCCCATCCTGGCGAACGGACCCCACATGTGTCCACCCGACTCTGGGTACGGGACATGGACACCGTTGTGTTTTATGTTATATAGTTTCCGGGCTATTGCCTGGCATCCTTTCGAAGGATCAAACGGCCCATGCAGTGTGGTTTAGGTGATCGCCAGAAGTCGACCATCGCCGGAAGTCGACACAATGCAGAAGCCTTTTTTTTTCAGAGCTTGGTTTATCACGACGCAAGGAGTGGGTTCACTCCTTGAACTGGATGTGTGGTGGAACAAAAAACCTTGAAACGATGATACACAATGCACGGAAGGGGATGGCACCGTTTGTTTGCAATTCGGAGCATGGTCTTCCAACGGGCCATTTGCCACTTCCATGATGGTTCCAGGGAGTGTAGACTTCCTTTGACTCATCAAGTCTGGGCTGGGTGGAAGCAAACCAGGTTTCGACATGGTGTTTGGAATGGAACCTTTGCTTTTGAACAAAAAAGGTTCAATGATTTGGGCCACCCAAAACCCTCACTTCCATCATACCATGTCCTCAGCCCCTCCTCCCCGGCCCCCCAGGCCTTGCGCGATGCCTTGTCCGTGGCCAATTGGAGCCTTGCCAGCGGTGCTCGCGTGCGTGAGACTTCTCTTCGCAGCAGTCGGCGTCCCTGGAGCGAGGGCAGCTTTAGTTGGTCGGGGAGCTCAGGTAACGCTCTGGGGTCTCTCACCAATCCCTATTGAGTAAGAAACCCTCCCATGACGACATCAGTCCAAATTGGGAGGGGTTATAAGCTATAAATCAATGAGGCTTCTACATTAGGTCATTAGGTTTGGAGGGGCGGGTCGGGCTGTGAACGGAGTGTCTACGGCGTGATTTGGCAGTTGCAGCCATAAAGGTGGAACATGGTGGAATAGTTCCTGGCCCCTGCTTCTTAACATCGGGATCCGCACCGCAGTGGAACACTGTCTCAACATCGGTTTAGGGTTTAGATGGGTTTAATTTAGGGTTTTAGACTTTCAACACCGTTTTTTGCCTTCATGTTAATGCCTTGGAAGGCTATGGCTACCTTTTCATAAAGCTTTGCCAGGAAGCTTCGGCACTCCCTGATCCATAGGTTTGGCGAGTAAATTGTTGACTGACTCTATGTGTATGGTTTTGCCTTCATTCATCCTTGAAACCACCCATAGCCACCCCCAACTGATCGACATAGTAGTCCTGGATTCATGGTCTTCAAGACCGAAGCAATTTTCCAGACCAAACTCTTTGGGACGCGCCCGCCCCCCAAAGACTGCCTCGCCCGCTGCCTCCGTTCCCATCGATTCCCCCAAAGACACCCCGGCTCACGGCACCTGGCGGTTTCGCCACCGAACGACGACCGGAGTGAACCCGCCGGCGGGGGCGGTGACGCCGCCGCCGCACGCGGGGAAAGCCGCTGCTGCCGAGGCGGATGTCCACGCTGGCGGCACGGCAATCCTTGGCTCAGATCGCTTCCTGGAGGCCTACGACGAGAAGGGTAGGAGGGACGCGGAGGTCCACCCCATGTGCCGGAGGAGATGGGAGGTTCGTTTCAGGCTTGAAGAACCTTTGTTTATGTTTGTCTCATAATTGGCGCCTTGAAAGTCTGAATGGAAGTGGTTGGTGGATGGCCCCCACCTGTTTGGTCTTTGGAGAATGATCATCCGGAATCGGGCCCATGCCATCTACTTTGCATGAGAGCAGACTGACCCTGCCATCGACATCATCTATTCACTCCAAGGGGATTCCAACCACCGATTGAAGGGTCGACTAACCGCAGAACCATTGTTTTATGACTTGGAACTACAAAACTCACCAGGTCGACCATTCCTTATTCATGCTCTTTGAAGGCTAGGGAAGGGAGACTTCTGGACTTCGCCCGGTCGTCTAGCTTGGACACCAACGTCGTCTGCACTCTGCAGTCGAACTTGTGAGTCGATGTCGCCTGAAAGTTCGCCCCACGAATCATCCTGATGTCCTACTTAGATGCCACGCGACCTTGCAAGAGATCGGAACGAGGCACAAACTTCGATGTCCTAGATGCCAGGTAGGTCAATGTGGTCCTGGAACTGGTCCATGTAACACATGTCACCGATCAACAGAGCTGTCGCCCAGCCTCTTTAGTGGAAGCACACCTTCAAAAAGAACATGGTTGCCGGGGGGAAGAACTCCAACTCTGAAGGATTTCCCTTTCAACATGCTTCTTTCGACCACCACCACACCACCACCACCACCATACCGAGCACGCCCCACCATACCACTCTTTCGACACCCGGTGCGCCCCATCCCCCCAGGGCCAGCGAGCTCCGCGCGCCCGCAAGCTCCGCGCGGAGAGCCGTGACGATGTGGGCCTTTGGCACCCACTGCTCGGCGACTCGACCACCGGGTGAGGTGAGGGCCCCCCTCGGGTGGCGGTGGGGGTGGTAAACCAGGTGCAGGTTCAAGGTTCGCCCAAAACGGGTTCTGCCTGCCGATGCTTGGGAAGACCAGCTCCACATCTGCAAGACCAGCTTCACGTTGACCTTGCGAGAAGAACAGCCCCAATTCTATCATGAATCTCGTCACGTTGTGCTCCCCCAACACCCCCTAGCTTGGAAGATGAATGAAGCCCGCATATCCCATGGCCTTGCTTGTTCAACAAACATGTATCATTTTTGGTTTCACTGCATTGCTCCTGGGTGGTGTTTTCAGATATGTTGATATTTTCAACCAAAAACTTGGGATGATTGACCGAACCCACTGACTCATTGAAATAACCATCAACGGACCTGTCCTAATCTTGACCGAGACCGGTCGTTGCGAACGTTCCTGTTCCAGCAGGTTATACCCCTCTTCGCCCTCTTCGGCGCTGTGCTCGGCTGAAACGGCTTCATCTTCGTCGTTTCAGCACAGACTCAGAACCCCCCAAACAACGACCGACCCCGCCCAACGGCTCAGACAGGACCCAACCCTGAATGACACGCTAAGTTTTTGGACTGAAGAACAGCATGCTGGTTCGTGTCCAGGGTCGCCCCAAGAAAAAAGGCACTGAACGTCGAAGGCTTTGGAAGGAGCCATTGCAGGCCGTGCCTCCACACGACCTGTCGAACCTTCTCGGACTCACCTGCGACGACGAACACCCCGCCGGTGGGGCTGAGGTCATGGCAGAGCCGGTCTCGGTGATGTCCACCTTGCAACATGACCGAAAATGCCTGGACCATTTTGTTTGGGTGTCCAATGGAGATCCTTAGGTAGTGTAGGATAGTCCAGCCAGGACACCCAGACAGGATGGTCCTCGTGTGTTTTCTTGTCGTTGATTTGTCGGATTTCTCTTCGGGTTTTGTGCCGGTGGGTTTAGGGTTGAGGGAGTGTGCTCACCTTGGGTTTACACCTGTTTACACCGCCTTTGACGATGTTGCCGGGCAGAGGGGGGAACATAAACTCTGACTCACACCTTGCAACAGGTTTTTCGTTTTTCCCACTTCCATGTCCCAGACGCTCCATGTGTTCCATATTTACCTACATTTGGGTGGTTGACCGGCGGTCAATGTAGGCATATATTATAACCATGGAGTGTTTGGGTGTTAGTGAGTCAGAGTGTGTAAACATATTTCCTAGACCCTGAAACCCTAAAACCCTAAACCCTGAACCCTAAATAACCATATATGGTTTTACTGTGTTTTACTATTCAGAGTTACAGAGCCATTGTGAAACCATTTTTGGTTCACGGTCTTTGAAGGCTGCGGGCTGGGTGTTCATTTTCCAGGCGTGCAAAGGCGCGTTTCGCGCGGCGGAGAGTCCTTCCTCCTTCGGCGCCCAGCTTCGGCCGAGGCTCTCAGAGGAGTTCCTGGTGAATGTGACCTGGCTCGGCCTCCAAGTGGTTTGGAGTTTGGGCAGCCGTAGTTAAAGAGGAAAACCTGAGGTTTCAGCTTCAGAAGGGACATGGATTCATAGATGAACATGGATGAACCTCCCCTCAGTCCCAGCCGCTTCTTATTATTTTAAATAGATCTTCTATGTTGTTTTGCGTGTGTGCAATGAATCCTCCTGACTGTAAGCAGGTTTCAGAGAGTCCATTTCCTGAACTCACAGATTTGTTTATCCAGTTTTTCCATGTCATGTTCCCTCTTCCCGGCCATCTTGGCCACGGGTATACCGGCGCGAAGGCTTGGTTTCAGTACATTACTCGCAGCATCTCCCAGCCAATCAATCCAAATAGATTCAAGGAATTAAACAATGTCAAAGTAAGATATTTTGAATTTTCCTATGGTCTTGTTATTAATGCAGTTGCACGATGTTGCACGGTTTTGCCTTATACACAGCCACGTTTGCAGAGACGAACGTTTGTCGTGGGCACGGAACAAAACAAAAGAAGTATGGTTTTCCATACTCGCACCTCGGGCCTTCCCAATGGTGTTCCAATCCCTCTGACCCAGTGAGGAACCTGGTCCCTGTTTTTTGTTTGGATCAGTATTTCATGAGGTCAGTTCCTGACCTGTACTGTATAGGAATCTGTCGGACATGTTTTGTACACCGGGTGTTCTTTGTACATACCTACCCTAGAGTACCCCACAAAGTGGAAGGGCTGTTAGGGCCGTGACATGGACAAGTCCGCCAGTTTGTGTAGGACACGTGGATCGCTCACCCATCGCGTAGCTCGACCCCCGGTGCAGGTCTGCTTCGCGTCGCGCCGGTCGGCAGCGCTTCGCCGCTTCAGTTGGTCGGGTCAGTCTTGTGCAAGTCAGGTCGCGCAACGGCCCAACGGTTTTTATGGATGTTTTTTCGATTTTAATCTTCGTTGGTTCCAATTTCGGCCGCGGTGTTTGGTGTCTTTGTTTGGGTCTTTTGTTTCGACCGCGCGATGAGGCATGGAGCCTCGGATTATTGCCAATACCATCAGGGCGCGCAGCCCGATGGGAACAGCGACGTCAGGCCCGCGGCATGGGAGGTAGCGGGGTATCCATGGGGTATCAACAAATTTGTTAAGTGAACTTATAGGACCCGTAACCAGGGGTACGAGGTTGTTTTCTTATAAGTGACCTTATCCATGGTATAGTGACCTTATAGACTTATAGGATTAGGGTTCTTCAACCTCTGTTGGTAGCCAGGTTGTTTTCTTTGTTGCCCATGGATGAGATCGTGGGAACCATGTTGCTGCTGATGTGTTTCAGGGAATTCGTGCTGCCGAACGACCGCAGCAGCTGGAACGGGATTGCTCCGATCGATCATGCCATGCTTTATTTTGTTTTTCGGGGGGGACTGCGCGTTTTGAAGCATCCATGTCGACGCGCCAGACAACTCTACATGCAGCACTGGAGGAAAGCAGGCGGGAGCGGCGATGAATTTTGATTCGTTGGTGGCAGGTGGATCTCACTTAGTTGGTTGTTCGTGCAAGGTTTTGGTTCCTTCTCATGAAGGATATAAGGGGGTTCGAGGCCACCATGAATGTCGCAAGGGTGTCTGAGCGAAACAGAACTTGTCAGTGAAGAGGCTGCGGTGGTGTGCAGTTTTCTGCAGTTTGTACCCCTGCTGCAGCTCATTCGAAGAAGCCTTCAAAACCATTTATGGGATAGAGGCAATACAAGTGTTAAACCTATAATTAGTGTTACTGTAAACTTAATTAATAACCAAATCCTATTTCAAGGGTCATCACACGTAAAGCTTGCGCTGCTCTCGTCAACGATGTACTCCCATCAATGCCGGTGGTTCGATCAAGTTTTGGATCGAGTTGTGGACTTCAACCGCTACATCTACCTCAACACGGTCAGACTGATATCTCCCAGGATCATCCAATGGGTGTCCAATAGACTACCCTACCCTACTTACAGGTCTCCAGACAGGACACCGGAAGTGCTAGGTCATTGTATCCCTCCCTCAAAATCCTCACCTTGTTGGTCAACCACCCGGTGTCACTCCTCATCCTGATTGCGAGGGGACGGTCGATCCGGACACGGGATCCGGGGGAAACCCCTGTCCAGGACCGAATTCCGATCAGTTGGGGAATTCGTAGGAGTCAATGTGGGTAAATAGACTAGACACATCTGTTACTACTAGCTCATATATACCATGCACCTTTTTGGTACGGATGGGGAACTGGCCCTGGTTACCGAACCGAAGAGGGCAGCAAAGCCAGGTGGACTGGTCCTGTCCGTGGTCCGAAGGTTCGGCAGGGCTTCGACCACTTCGTAAGCTGCAGCTTAGGACGGAAGCCCTGAGGATCTCTGAAAGTAACAGGGGGCGGCTGAAGCTGCCAACTGGTGGACATGGAATGTTTACAGTCTGACTGGAAGACGGAGTTTGACTGAAAAGACCTCATATTCCTGCTCCCAAATCCCAACATGCGCCAACATGTGTATCAAATCCTGGAGCGCATTGAACATGTTGCTTTTTTTTGTTGAGCAGAAGCTATCTCAGATGATTCCGCCATTCTTTCAAAGCTGTTCCGTCAAAAAATGGATCAACACCTGCCACAACCCTTGGAGGTGTCTCAACACCTGCGGCCAGTATTTACGATCGTGTTAGGGCAGTCCACTTCAACCCTCAAAACCGGAAGGGTCCGGACGAAGCGCCGCATGCTGCGACTGCTCCGCTCTCCGCTTCGCCGCTTCGAAGCACCTGGAGTCTCACAGCGGTCACCGCGGTCACCGGAGCGAAGCCGAGCGAATCGGAGCGCAGCATGCTGCTCGGCTGTTGGGGTGGACGGCCGACACAAATACGCTGTTGGGCACGCGAGTATGTACTTCATCCTATTGAATGCGCTTCCAACGGGTGTCCCAAATTGGAGACTGGAGACATAGTCATCTGAGTCATCTGGGCTTGTCCAGGCAGGTAGCCCTGAAAGGAAGCAGCTGGTCTAGTGTGCTATGCTTCCAGCTAAAAAGGAGATGGCAACAACATGCAACAACATCAAGAAGAAAATCATGTTCAGATCCTGTCCAGTTCCTGCTTGGCTGGACCGCCTCCCTCCAAGACTTCTGAATGCGGGGGCCATTCCGATGGAACCGGGTTGGAACAATATGAGCACCGCGAGTTCGAACGGTGGACACCGGCGATTGAAGCCTCAAAGATCTCTGTGGAACTGCAGGTTTTGAATATCACCTTCAGGTTGGGTTCTGGTTGGCAGCTAAGTTGCGTGTATCACCCTCAGGTTTGTCGGTTTCTTCTGCTGAAGAACCATGCCATGCCCTGTGGGTGGATTGGCCGTGTCGTCGAGGTCCTTTAAACCCCTACCAATCATCATAAGTTGATCTTGGGCCACCCAGTGCCTCCAACACATCCACCAGCGCCCGGTTCTCCATCTTCCACTTTCAATACTGGGGGAACCCTACGCGGGAAGAGTGGGTAATAGTGTAACCTTGAGCGTTTTTTGGGGGATGGGTTGCTGTACTAAAATCATCTAAAATCCAACAGGCGGAACGTTTGGTTAACCTGTTAGAACCCTAAACCTAAACCCCAAGAAATGGCTTGGGGGTCGGGAGGAATTCGGAGCCGCTGAAAGGGAGTTTCGTCACACCTACCGGACGAGGTCGAGTGGCTATGGCGAGGTTCCAGGACGCCATGAAGCTGGAGGGTTTTGTGGGATCACGTGGGACCGGGACCTGCCACAAGAACGGGGGGACACTGCCATTGGCCAGACACTCCATAGGACTGCCAGACACTACGGCCGTTCGGGGTGGTTGACTGGGGGTCTGGCATATAGCCTGGCAGCTCCCAGTTTCGGGTCGTGTCTGGGATTGGTTTTCGGGTTGTTGGAGGTACCGGGGAACGGGGTTTCGAAGCGAACCAGATGGGTGACCATGACTTCCGCGAGCCCGGCTTTTGGTGAAGCAAACCCATTGAGAGTCCTCGGCTTTTTCCATGGTTTTTCAACCATCTCCGTCATGATCTGTCCAAAACAGTGTTTGTGTTTGTGTTCCTATCACCGGCCTACCCAGCTGCACATGAGTCGACGGTGGCGTCCAAAAGGTCCAACGAGTCTGTGGGAGTCGTCGACGACGAGTGACCGGGACCTGGCGGTGGTTTGTCGGTCTCAAGACGTGACGCAACATGGATCAAGTGACGCAAGCTCTCAAAGGAGGGAGTATGAGGTGTCAGAAAATCAGAAATGGATTGGAACACTCACGTTCTTGGCAACATGTCTTGGCTGTGGTCGGCGGTTTAGTTTAGTGCAAGGATGGCCTTTTTGAGATATTTGGGATCGAGTGTGTGGGCACCGCGCTGCCTCCAAAAGGTGTTCGCAGTATCCCTCTTCATTTGAAATGTGCGGTCAAGATAGGATACATTAAGAAAACGCCATAAAACAGATGGTCAACGGCTACAAGTCACAAGTGTTTTCTCCAAACCCTTCTGTGCAATTCATCCACGACCTATAGACCGAGGGAGGATCTTTTTTCCTTCCATTGCGTCTGAGATGGTCTGAGGAAATGTTGGAAGACTTGGTTTTTCATTTGGAACCCTGGAGTACCCTACCTCCCTACCTCTTCACCCGTCACCCACACCCGCACACACCTGCCCATACCCGCTCGCTACCCCGTTGGCAGGAGCGGTGGAGGACCATCGGCAGCTGCTGCCCTTAATGGCCATGATCCGCGAAGGCGTCGGTTTTCCACCGAATAAAGATCAGCGAAAGGGAGCAAGGCGGAGATGAGATTTGGAAGTGAAAGCAGTCTGGGAGGGGAGAAGACAGAGTGTCCGTGTGTTTGGAGTTGGACAGACTGGAACCTCATCCGCACAGCTGGCTGTGGTTCACCGCCTCTTTGGATTTGGGGATGATATTGATGGAATACGTACCACCATGGTACACCTGGGAAAACAACATATAGAACAGCAACCAGAACACCAAACCCTGGTGCGGCATTGGTTGTTTCAAGTCGGATTCGCCGGCCAACCCAGCTTGGCGACCCAGTTTGGTGCGTTTTATTGTGGATGGAGAGTAGATTGCACAAATGTCCAAGTTCTGTGGTTTAGTAGTGGACCCCCCATCTGTCCAAGACATCTTTCTTTTTGGGGTGCTGCAAGGTGTTCCAAACCGAAGCGGGTTCACCGCCCAGTTCAGCACCCACCTCCATACCTGTAGTACTATGTACAGACATCTGACATCGATTTTCATGGATGATAAAGAACACAAGCTGCTGTTGCCATCTCCAGGCCCCAACTTGGGAACCCTTGCTTCACCGGCAATGCACGCACCGCACACACGGTCGCACGCACCGGGTCGCGCGCACCGGTCGCACGCTCGCTCCACCGGCGGAGGCCAGTTGTCGCCGGAGGTGCTGGGGCTCTTCCGGCGCAAAGCGCATGCGGCGCCCAGGAAGGAACCACAGGCGCGGGCTCCGCGCCGGGCTCCGCGCGCGCGGAGCGCCCCCCGCGCCCGCTGCGGTTCTCACGGGAGGCGATTTTTTGGTTCGTCATCTCTGATGATGAAGGGTACCGTACGTGATCATGAAACTTCATGACTTTTGCATGACTGCAGTGGCGACTGTTTTTGTTGCTTTCATCATGTTTCATCGTTTGATGTTGAGACTTAAACTCAGGAAGTATAATTAATCGCCTACTGCACTGGTCATGGGAGTGTATAAGACGTACAGCTACCATACTACAAAGTAATTATGCTAGAGTTCGTGTTGTGCCATCCTGATGTGAATAGGTTTGAATGTTCTGGGTGGGTGTACACCACTGTGTAGGTAGAAGAGACATAGACGAAACGGTTAAAACCCTTACTCCGCTGTATATAAAGCATCAAACTAGATAATTTAGTATGTTGATGGTGCGAATATCTATCTATATATCTATCTATCTATATATATATATATAAACTAAGTTGTTTTAGGTTGCAGTTCTCCCTACCAGGACCAAAGGGATCCAATTTTGTATATAGAACCTCTTGGTTCCTCCTTGCCATGGATTGGATTCCTCATGCAAAAGCAGAGATAAGACGAAAAACACACATGAAAAGCCGCGTTCCTCCTTGCTCCTCACGCAAAAAAACACATGAACGAATCGATTAAATTGAACCATTTGTGCAGCTAGAGATGCTTGGCTCGGTATGTGGTATGCAGGACCCAGACATCCGACAGGGTTTTGTTTAATGGGTTTGTCCCAGTAAAGCTGTAACTCGGTAAACAAGAACATCACTATTTTAGAGATGTCGGCCCTCATCATCCATTGTTGCTGGTAATGGAATAGACACAAATAACTTAATAGTTATAGTTAATATAAATTGGTGATGTTGTGCCTCCAAATGGCTCAGGGGCTGCCACCGATGTCTTTTTTGCGTCCGCGAAAAAGACTCTCCCTCAGCGCTGGCAATAGAGCCAGCCCTGCAGGTGAAGAAGGAGGACTCGGGAGCGCGACAGTGAGATTGGTACAAACCAATTGGTACTGTAAGAGGGAAGCTAGTTGTTAACATGTCGTGATTCACATAGCAGGAAACCCTAATTGAGGGATGCCTGTTAGGTGATAAGATCAGATATTATAAGGCATGCCTGTATGCCTAAATAGCAAACCTTCGTCCCTTTGATGTCCTTTTTGCTTGGGGGATCACTTATCGTGGTAGCACTTGAGATTTGGAAGCCTAATTTTGTCATTTAACTCTCTTTTTGTGAGGCATTGAGGTCCCTGAGCATCATCCAGGAATCCCCTGGAACGCAAGACGATGGAATACACCCAAGATACACTAGAGTCACTAGAGTGGTTAAGGCTGCCCAATGTCATGTCATAGTCCTCTATCGTAATCCCTCTTTGATTCTTCTTTGAACATCACCCAATGGTGAGGAATGCAGGAACTAACTAGTCTAGCCCAACTATCCATCGCTGAAGGATACACTGTATTAATCATATAGTTCTAGCAGAAGTACACTGCGGAACATTCAGATGGACATTGCCTTGAACAAACAGTCCCGGCATCCTTACGATCCACATTATTTCAACAGTTTCCGTCCTCTATTTGTTTGCATCATGTTTTCTCTACCTGTTGAGACTCTCTATGCTGCTTTCCCAACCCGTTTTCTTTTGGTTCCCAACCTCCGCCCCCAAACACTAAGAGTTCCTTCCCAACCAGTCGCTCCTTCCCCATCTTCAGAGGATGTGCCGCACCTCTTCGAGGAACTCCATCGGCTCCTGGGGATCCAGCTGAACCCCGCCACCGTCGAGGACCTGACCCTGAAAGGCCTCCAGGACCGGCGTGGACGCCGTTCCGTTCGGGGACAGCGGAACGGGGACCACTGGTCCCGGTTCCGTTTCGGGTTGGAAGCTGCGGAAAGCTGAGGGTTGGGGGGAGGGGTGGGGTTTTAGGAGGTTTCGGAGCTGGGGGCAGTGCCAGGAGTTCTTCCATCAACGGGACGTTTCTGCCAGATGTGGTACGTATACGAAATAATGGAAGTTGAAGAGAGCAAACAATCTGAAAACACGAGTTTCACCATGGAATGACCACGACTTTGGGGGACAAGGAAACTGCTCTTCAGCAGTGGTTGAGGTGGAAGGTTCAAGGTGGAATGCTCCAGGTAGGATCCTCCAAGAAAGATACACCTTGTGTGTGTCTGTGTGCGCGTGCTCAATGATCACTTTTTTTGGGGGGAAAGGCCTTTACTAACCATCATCCACTCCTGAAAAAAAAAGGACATACCCAGCATAGTACCCAGCATCACCCATCGGATTGGAGGCTTTGGTTTCTTCATCGGTTCGATTCTCCGATCCGATGCACCTGAAAAAACAGCCCGGATCTGAGAGTGGAGGTTTGTAAGAAGAGGTCGAAAAGTATCCGTCAAGTGACCAAAAGGACTTCAATTGGCAACTTTTATTGCATGTCATACTGAAGATCCCATTTTGGAATCTCAATTAGAAAGGCCTGCGCTCAAGTGCCAAGACCAAGGCATCCAACCACCTGCTATGGGAAGCTTACAGCTAGTATCATTCCCGGAGGTAAGTCTCAACAGGAATCACATAGGCTGTACACCTGGCGTGCTACAGTGGCCGGAGCGTCAGTCACGAAAAGCAGCTGGCACAGGTCGTTTGGTCGAGGAAAAGGTGGCCAGTCTCTGGTTGGTGTTGTCGTTTTCGTTCCATGGAAATCTTTCTCTTCTAAACATGTCCGGCTCCACATACCGGGGCGGCCACAACACATTGCAGCAGATCATTCAATGTCACAGTATTTGGGGAACTCCCCTTCATTATCCTTCATTGCTCTCGTCCGCCAGTCTCATGGGATGAGACTGGCAGGAAACAAAGAGCAAAAGTAATGATCCACCTTATCCAAGCTATATACGCTCTGACAATGCAGCAAAAACATGCTATTGATTGCTATTGTAAGACCGTCACACAATGGCATTCCTATCTGATCCAACGAAACTGGCTTCTTGCTTGGCATACGCCCGGTGAGAAGCTTCCTTCGCCCTGGGAGGGCCTTTGAGGGCAGAAGAATTCTTCCTGCCATCCCCTTGGAAGGATTTGTTTTGAGACCAGAGAAAAATAATCATTACCAACAATTGGAGAAGACTCTCTATCAGAAGACTCTCGGAGAAGAACCCACTCTCGGAGAAGAACCCTTAGTTTTTGTGCAGATCACACCAAGAAGAACGACACGCTTTGCCGCCTTGATTTAACGACTACTAACATCAGGGGACTCTGGCTGATTCGTAGAACGATGCACCTGAACCTCCAAAAAGCAGGCGCTCACACTGGACCTTCCCACATGACCTTTTTTTGGAGTCCCTTCAAGTGACCTTCGACAGGCCTGTTGATGACTTCAAACCAGGGGATTCCAGGAGAGCAAGTTCCACCGGGAAGATCCTGCTACAACACAGCATCAGCTTCCAGAAACTGGTCTCACTCGCTCGCGGAACCTGGACACCGCCCCTGGCCCTTCCGTCGCTCCGTCGGCAGGAACTCCTCTGGTCCTCCGCGCTGCACTCGGCCGACCGCGCGGCGCCCACGCCCGCAGCGAAGGGCGCGGAGGCGGCGAAGGTGGAGACAGCGAAGGTTAAGAGCTTCCACGAGCTGTTTTGCGTCATCACGCGGATCGGCCCCGCGGTGGAACGGGGAGAGGAAGAAAGACCTGGAGGCGTGGAGCAGGTCTAGATGATGATTTTTGATGACATATGACAGAATAATTACTGCAGTTATAGTCCATGTATCAATATGGGATGCAAATAGTGGAGTGCACAGGAGTTGTTGGGAAGAAATCACATGATGACAACAATGATGATGAGGAGGAGGATGCGGCTGATAATTACTGTAAGTTGGTAGTGAGCCTGCAACAAGACTTTCCGAGAGGCATGCTGCTCGATCAGGAGTTTCCTGAACCAGGCATTTTGCGGCCATTTCGTGATCATGTTTGTACCTGATGACTCATGACACCGAACCAGACACAGTAGAAACGGCCAAACAAAGCCTGGAAGAAACTAGTGACTCCATGATTCCGATTCTGTTGATGGAGTGGTACAGTATTTCATCCCAACCAGCCATATCACTGTGGATGTGTGTTCTGAGCATATTGGCCCCTCCCTTGCAGCCCATGTTGCATGAAACCTGGATGAGCATGGAGGATCGCTTAGAGGAGTCGAACCGAGCGGTTTCGAGCGGTTTCCGCACCACGGAAGGTAAGAGCACACATGTAGGCGGTTCCACCAAACATGTGGCCGTGCTCTGTGGAGCGGGTCTTCCTTGTCCTGGTAGTGTTATAGAAATCTTTCATTGGAGAGAGCCTGTTTTCAAAATTAAAACAAATCAAGAAAAACAGTCCCAAAAGTCAAAGTTAAAAAACACAAGTGAAATCCGAAAGTTTCAGACAGTCAACAAAAAAGTCAATTTGCCCAGATCCGACGTTTTCTTTACTTGTGTTTTTTCTAATTTTAACTCGTTTTTGTTGTTGTTTTTTTTTGACATTTTTCCGACTTCTTTTTTTGACTTGTTTTGACTTGTTCGAGTTATTTTGTTGATTATTTTGACTTGATGTGACTACTTGTATTTTGTTTGTTTGTTTTTTTTGTTTTTTAATCTATATTGGCCTTACCATATTTTTATCATGGTAGTGGTTTGATCCGTGTTCTTGAGGTCAGACCCATGGGACTAGGCCTTGGCATACGACATCGAACGATGCGTTCGTCGACATCAGGTGAGGGTGCCACTGGAACGGTGTTTTGGCGGAGACAGCGTGGTGAAGCTGGGATAGAGACCTGGGAGACCCAAGCACTCCATGTATACCATATATATTTATTATATTACCATATATGCCGATCAAGCCAGACCCCTCTGGCACCACCCCTGGCCGTTTTGAACGCAGTCCGCCAGTCCCAAACAGGTCGTGTCTGGGATAGAGACCCCAGACCCGGGGCCTTGTGTTGACCCCCCCGCCGACTAACACGGACCCTGAAGATTGACCCAGTGGTTTCGATGTTCCAAAGACCAACCCGACGTGGTTTTGGGGGTTCCATATGCGAATCGCAGCGGAGTACCTTTTATGGTTGATCAGTGGGTATGGCTTCGCAACAGCCGTGCGTTCTTGTACATTGTATGGCCTCCCAGGATTAAATTGAAACAAGTGGTTGTGCGGGCAACGCAGTCTTGAAACAGTTGTATTTAGCACCGTCACCTTAATCGTTGTTCTTTTTTTCGTGGCGGGACTAGCAGGAAGGTCCAGGCATTTAGCCTTCATGATACCGTGGAAGTGGAGTTCCAGCGTATGTTTAATACCCAAAAATTTGGTTTTGTGAACCGTGAATGCAGACGGTCACACCAGGGTCACACCATGTAATTGACCCATCCTGATCACTGAAGTCTCCTGGCGGTCTCAAAAATTGTGGCAAGGTTTTGGGGTGATTTGGGAGTGTCAAAAACCCTCTTGGAGAAGTTGGTGGCTTGAGTTGACTGCTAGGGGAACCCACCAAACCTGAAGAACAGGGAGAAGAGAGTTTTGGTGTGAACACAATAACTAAGTTTTCATGTTCTTGCCAAAAAGTAGACATTCACCAAGAGTCACAAAGGGGCTTCAAAGGGGTGGTGTTTAGTCCCTAAGTGGGTGGATAATGGGCACACCTATCCCCTATCCTCCAATAGGCACCTGGTAGCATCATTTAGTCACCTGTACTCATATTGCCACATCTGCCCTACATGGCCAAGGTGATTTTGGCCAAGGACCGTGCCAGTGAGCAACGACGTGCCGTGAAGGTGGGGCGCGGGGAGAATGTCAGTGAAAGAGATGATATGGATTTTAAGCTTGGAATGCTCACAACATAGCATGAAGAGAGAATTGAGATTGCTCTACAATGGTCTATAGGATGCTTGGTCTCCAATCCTTATGTTTGTTAAAAACCAAACGTTCGACATGTCACAGGTCCCCTTTGGGGCCCCATGGCTCTGAGCAGGGAGAACGACGCCCGTCGGGTCGGCCTTCAACGGCTTGGCGAACGGGGGCGACCGGGGCGAGCGGTTTTCTCGGGTTCTCATGTCTGCTCAGAGGGTTCACTCACCCCCAAAAGGCACCTAAGCCACCTAATTTGGACCAGGAGCTTGTTGAGTGAGGCGTGAGCATGTCTGAACGACTTGAGATGAAATACCCGTGTTTTGCTTGATCATGCTTGGCACGTGGACATTTTCCAGCCCGGAGCCTGTCAGGGGACGCTAGACACTGCGGGGACTGTACATCATGTATTTTTCTGTTTTTGGACTGCACCGGCGGACTACCAGACCGTCCAACATTCCACCCAAGACCATTCGGAGCTTCACTAGTGTATCGCTTGCGTCATTTGGGGCGCGGACATTTTCTCCAAGGAATCAGTGTCGCAGCTTCCCGAATCGTCATTCCCCACGGACGTTCTCGTTCAACGCTGGGTGAGGTGGTCAGCCTTCGAGTGTGTTTCGCGGCAGGTGGTCCATAAGACACCTGGAGGCCAAGAACTCAAGGAGGAGAACCGGCGGTTCCACGGTCCCCCACCGGCCCCCCCGGGCCAAACCGTACTGGAAGAGGAGTCGTTTGGATTGGAAGTGCGAGCAAACCGTTTGGAGGGCACCCGAACCGTTTGCCTGGGTCATGGAGATGGGCGCCAGCTTGGGGGTTCCTTCCTGATTAGATATTCTGTAATATAGACAGGGGTTGTTGACGATTTTATTGGTGGAATAAGACTACGTCACTACGTGCGGATCTGAAAACCGATGATCAGTGTGTCATTTTTCTGCCTAGTTCTCTCTCCTCTGAATATGATATGAGAGCGGTCTTGCTGTCCGCCTGTCCTCCTGAACTCAACTCTCTCTCTCTCTATAATAATTATAGCTGCCTAGGGCCTAGCTTGCGGTTGGTTGTCAGTGTCTTGTGCAGGTTTCCTGTTTGCCGTTCCTTCAACAAGGTGATTTCCTCGAGAACAAGTCCTTTACCTTTACACTTTACATGTCCTATAGGGGCCACTCCTTGCTATCAAATAGAGGTATCAACTGTATTCAATTGTACAGTGATGTGGTTGTAGGTCAAAACCTGGTGGAAGGTCGTTCGCTACATGGTGGACCAGACCTCCAGGGTGTTTTTTTGGACACATCCCGGATGTGTTTTCGGAGATGGCACACGACCACGCCGCGCCCCAAAGCCAGCAACTCAATGTGCGTGGATCCAATTGGAAACATACCATGGGACCATCCCTTCGGAGTCTTACCACCCCTACACGACTCCCTACACGACAAGCCTGAGACGTTTCCTGATATGTCTGATCTGTGACGCCCCGAAACGGAAGGGTCCATTCCAGATACAAACCACTTTCGTATCTTTTGGACATCGCTTGGGACGGTTTTTCGTTCACTTCGCACAGCCGAAACATTGACGGTGCGGCAGGAGCAGTTGAAACTTCAGGAGCTGAGTTTCCAGCGCGCGCCTTGGACAGCCGAAGGTCGTGTCAGGCGGTGGGGGATGGCCTGGTCATCGAAAACGTGGGTGGAAGGAGGAGGAATGTCCGGCAAAAATTCACAATAACCTCCAGAAGAGATCCTTCCCCTCAACAAAAACCGTCAAATTCTGGAACCATTCGCGGTTCTCTCCCAGGGCTCCAACCATATCCTCAGGTTCGGTGGTTAGACCGCATGTGGTTGGAGCCCTTTTTCAGGCTCCAAAACCTTTGACTGCCGAGGAAGTGAAGGTGCTGTCGGCCTTGGACCATCCACACATCGTCCGCCTCCATCAGCACTTCGAAGACCCCCAGGCCGCACCAAACGCGTGGTGACGCCCACGACCGAGGACGGTGGGAACCGACTTACACGTCGACCCGACCGACCCGGCCCCCCCAAATACCAGGACCCTCCAAGGGGTGTACTACAAACAACCTTTTTTTAAGAGGTGTCCAAAAACCACCTGTTGGAAGGTCCTGAGTCCTGAGTCAGAGAGAAAAGTGGTTGGACACCGTTTCTCTCTCTGTTGGAAGGACCACTCATCTGCAGGCTGTGACAGCCTGTGATCTCTGAGTCGGAGGTTCTGGGTTCACAGGACCAGATCATTAGGGTATGGAGTTGGACCCTACCAGCACCCTCCAACAGGTCACCACCTGACACCTTTAAGTATCCAAAAGCTACCAGAGGAGACCTGTACAGTCGGGTGCTGGTACAGATTGACCCATTCTACTCCGATGCTCCGACAGTGGGGACGAGATGTGTTGTGCTGGGTCTTTGGATCTACAACATCACACCCTCAGAGGATCAGAGGCACTGCAAGTTTTAGCCATCAAGTAGCGCTAGTCAAGTCATCTACGGGGTATTCCTGGAGATTGACACTTTGGGCATGGTAGATGTCCGGCCACTGTAAAGGACAGGTACCTCTCAGCTCAGGTTTGGCAGTAAACAATCTGAAGTGTGTTTGGAATCCCAAAAATGTATTCATGAATACCCAACCCATATCCTCCGCGGAAACAGTCAGGGGTATCTAAAGGTCACCAAATCGCTTAACAAGTCTTCACAAGTCTTCATTCCGGTCGAAACCGCGCAGGCTTGGTACTTGGTCCTCGACTATTGTCCCTGTGGTGATTTGGTCACTTTGATGGATGAGCACCGGGAGCCTCTTGGCTGAAGGAGGAAGGACATGTGTGCGCCATGTAGGGCCATACACAGCAGGGCCGGGCTGTGAGATCTCGTGTTCCGGTCCTTTTCGATGCGTTTCGATGCCTGGCTGCGCTGAAAAGAAATCACCTCGAATGTACCCTCCACCAAGCCGAACTACACACAGGAGCAGGTTGCAAGACGATGTTCCCATCTCAGGTGCTGTTGGCTCTTGCTTTTTTTCGGCGGGTCTAGTTTTTTACTGCAAACGGCGCCCGGACTATATAATTAGCAGCTTCAATCACGAATTGCAGGAATGGGCATCGGAATCCCAGGCGTGGGCAAAGGAAGATCCAAGGACCAATCTGATTGGAATATGATGGAATATGCATGAATATGCAAGTTTTCTATAGTTGTCTACTGTATACCAGGATCATCCAATCGGTGTCCAATAGACTATACCCTAGCATATCCTAGCATACTTACGGGTCTCCAGACAAGGCACCCGTTGGAAGTGCTAGCTATGGTGCTTTGGCTCATTCGTGGATCTGTACTCGCCCCCGACATCCCCAGACCATCCACGTCATGCCAGAAAGACGGGTTTATTCCATACATGCCCAGATGCTGTTCACCACCCCAAACCATCCCAACTTGAGGCCATCTATATAGGCACCTGGATGGATGGAGTTGCTGGACTCGGAAAGCATCACGTTGAAGCTCCATACCTTCGTTCCGCTCCTGCTCCGGCGCTGCCGCGACCGACATCGACCGAGCTGACCGGTGCCGCTTGACCGAGGGAAGGCCATAAGACCATGCCGTTGCCCTTCAGCCTGAAGGTCCTCCACCAGGCCGCCCCCCTTCGTTCACGATCGCGAGCGGACCAAAGGGGTTCGGACCTCTGGACCCCAGCGATTGAACCGCAAAGGACTCAGGACAGATTGCAGTGTGCTAGTTCGTTCACCGACTTTGGTCTTGTATGTTATGGTATGTTTACTATCTCTTGGTGTTTCTCATGAGCATGTTTTCAGCACGCCCCTTTGAGGGCCTCAGAGTGGTCAGAGGGGCCCGTGCAACAACACCAGTCTCGGTCGAAAAGCCCTGTTGGCAAGATCAAACCAACCAGGATCGAAGAACCTGTAGCGATTGTTCGAACAACTCCGGGACCGTCCCGAACTGTGGCTTTCAGCACTTTTTCCAGGATATGAGCCGCAGGTGTTTCTCAAATGTGAGCGTTGACTTTCTCCGTTTTTGCAACATAGTACATTGGGACTTGCTTCGACAGACTTGGTGGCGGAGGCGCCGCAAGTAGCATTTGCACACAATAGCGGAGGCGCCGAAAAAACCCTGGCCTTATTAAAATAGCAACATTTCGGCGCATGCCGCATATTCATGTAAGTTCCAATAGTGCTGGTCATCACTTGTTGACGGACTAGGCCCGGGTGTTGCCTGATTATGAGCCCATGAGTAGCGTTTAGTCTTTTGACTGCCAAGTACACGTTTCAGTATTTTCTTGAAGGAGTCTTGTCTTTTGCATCGAAAGAGGTTTCAGAGTACAAGGCATGGCAGAACTCTCGTTCTTCCGATTTTGACACATGGCGCATGCATGCGCATGCTAGCTGCTATCCTAAAGGGCTTTCAACCAACATCAGTGCAGTGAGCAGTGAGAGCAGTGGGAGCAGTGTGAGTGTGAGCAGTGTGTAGTAAGAGGAGAGAGAGGCAGAGCAAGAGCAGTGAGAATAGTGAGAGTTCGCAGAGACGGGAGGGTGCAGTGAGAGCAGTGAGGTGCTGAGGAACAGTGGGGCAGCAGTGAGTGGTCATGTCTCGTGTGTTTCTCAGAAAGCCGAGGTGCTGTTGGCATTGGCTCACATGCACAAGCACCTCCGTTGCACGAGCCGCGCAGATGATCGCAGATCGGTGTTTTTCACAGGGAGTACATCGATGGGGAGGTCTAATACATAGGGATTTCCTGTTGGAAGGTCCAAGAAGATGATACTGTTGGCACGTGTGTACAGGACACTGAAAATAGCAATCAAGTACCCCCCCAATAGCAAGCTGGCAGGCATGAAATAGATTTCTACTACTCCGTCATTTAGGTCCAAATTGTGAGAAGCCAGAGACGTGTCATCAGCAGTAGGCCAATCATTTATTCGATCCTTTGCCACCGTACATACTCGATTTGTCTTCTTTCTTCCCACGTGCCGTTATCGTGGAGCATGATGTATTCGTCTTCTTCTTCCCGCTGAGGAGGCAGATGATGCATTTGGACATCAAAGGCCAAAACTTGATGTTCCAGGTCTCCTATCGAGGCCCGTGTTCCGCGCCGTCGGCCGCGTTCTTTTTTCTGCCTGAGCTTCTCGGTCGTTGTAGAAGGCTGGTGACTGAGTGGGAAACGCAGATGAAGCGAAGTGGATCTTTGTTTGAGGCACCGGTTACTTGCTGTTCCTTGTATTGACGGTCCAATGGTGCGCAAAATGACACGTCACAGACCCGTCGACCAGGACCCCCGGTTCGAGGTGTCTAATCATAGCCCCTTAGAGGTGACGGTGTCTATGATGGTGACCATGAACCACCCCAACCCAGGGCCCCTGGTATAAATCGGAAAAACTTGGAACTCAACAATCCTCCTGCACTCCAAACCTCAATGCCATTGGAAGAAGGTACGACAGTGGCTACAGGTCGGGAATGGCTGGGAGGTCCTTTCTGGGTGGCACAGGCCACCACCCAGAGAAGCTTTATTGCACACTATACTCTATACACCTAATAGCAATGGCCTCCAAATTGGGAAGCAATGCAAGCATAGACTCATCTCCAAAGAATCTAGACCTTGACATGTCCTCAGTCTCAAGCACCTGAGACAAGGACCTGACTCCTGCCAGAGCGACTGCCACTCATCTTTAAAACGTCCCTGGAACAATCATGGAAGTAAGTAGTACATATACCTAGCGCTTCCTGTCCGGGTGCTCTGTCTGGAGGCCTGGAGACGTAGTGTGGAGATATCCATGACCCGCAGCTGGCACATGGCCCATGTGTATGGCTCTCGAAAGGATGAAACGTCACCGAGTCGACCGAACAGTTGGTGCCATCCACGTCATGGATGGTACCCAGACGCTCCGTTCACAGCCCGACTGGTCCCTCAAATCCTGGGGGATTTGAGACCCCGTTCGACCCCTCCAGAGGATTCGGGTTCGACCCCTCCATATGAGGGTCCATGAGCGTTTGGGTAACAAGTATTCGGATTTCCAGGGTTCGCGACGCGAGTCGTCCCTTCCGAAGCAAACGGGTCGTACAGGGTCTGCCGTCGTCGGTGGTCGGTCAGATACCATCTTGCCGCACGAGCGTGCTGGGCACCCGGCACCGATGATGGTCATGAAGGCGTGGCGAGTCGGGTCGGTCGAGGGCCGAGCGCTGAATCGACGCAGGAGAATGGTACCCAGAGACCCGACCGTTTGGTTTTCCACCGCACATGAATCGAGTGCCAGGCAGGTCAATCTTCCAGAGTTTGGGGCTCCAGGTTTAACATAGCCTAACATGGGCGTGTACTAAATAGGGTGGCACAGTGGTACAGTACTTTGCTCCATGTCCATTCTTTGGAAGTGTTCAGCTCATGCAGTGGCAAGGTTTGCTGCTGGGTCCAACGAGTCGCAGGTTTGCAAGACTTAGGCTGTTTGAAACAGTTTGGTCACCTTTTGGGGCGAGGTAGGGGGGTCAGGGTGTCCAGATCGATTCGTTTAGAGGGGATGGCTCGCGCGTGTCGTCCCATGGACGGTCCAGAGCGACATACCTTCGGAGACCTTCGGGGCTTCGGCCTTTGGTGAGCGGAAGATCAGGGGCTTCGGGCCATCGCCATCGCGTCGTGACACCCCGCTCTGGGCTTCCGGCTGCCAAACACCGGGTGCCTCGACTCGGGGGATGAAGGGGGATGCCCCACTTTCCAGCTCGGAATGGCCCCAGGCACGGGCCTATCCTCCGCTTCGGCACCACCGACTCCCCACCGGCCCCGCCCACGGTGGCGGCCGACCGAGCCGGGAGAAACGGGAGAAACCGGTCGACGCGGAGGCGCCCCACGTGGTGCTCGTGGATTTCGGCACCGCGCGAAGGATGGAGGAGGTGAAAGGTGAGCCCATTGGCCACGCGGCGGCGAGTCGGGTCGATCTAAGAAGGTCGGACCGGGAGTCGCCCAAGGTCGGACCGGCAGTCGGACCAGGAACCTTTTGAAGGTGGACTCTCAGATTTTTGGAAAGGCCTGATGGTATGCCTTTGTCTAAGTTCTAAAGCAGAGACCCCCAGAGTTAAACGAGAACCCTTCGCTACGCATTCGGGAACAAACTACACCACCATCGACCCCAAACAGCAGCGGCAGCTTGATGTTTCTTTTTGCCAATGTCGGTTAGAGATTGTCACTCTGTTTGAGATGTCGGTCTGTAAGCTAACCATCATTTGCATCATCCCACTGGGGCCACCAGTGATGGGATAGACCCAGTCGTGAGACCATGTGAGACATATTTTGACATCAAGAAGGCCAAGCTTTGACTGGGAGGTTCAAGGGAACATGGAGAGACAAGTCTTCCCACTCAAGAGGACCTTTCTTGCCACACTCAAGAGGACACGTCGCATCGGCAAACACACAAGAGGACCACGGCTTTTACGCGTCATACCGAGGTCATGTCGTTCTTAACGACCGCATAAACAAAGCCATCCAAACCCAAACCCAAAGATACATTAATTTACAATATGAATGTTTGTAAATGAAGCGACACACACACATAATATTTGTATGATCATGGTGGCCAATTAATGGCTTTGTCATACATCGATGTGTATCATATGAGCGACCGACAAAATTATTGGTTGACTTATTCAGTCACGGCATGACCCTGACCTATTTTGAGGGAATGGTGTTTGTGGACAACGATATGGTCTCCGTCATATAGTGTCAAAGGGTATGTAGATGTATGATGATGTATGTAGTATTCAGCTACACAAGTAATTTTGTCCACTGCCCATGTGACTTTCCCAGCCATCTACTGCGGGATGAGACTCCAAGTGGAGCATCATGGTGAAATGGACACAATCGAAGCACCCCATGCATGGAATGTTTACCAACATTTCAATGATTGAAAACGATTGAGGAGGGGTCACTGTAGATATAAGATGGATGGTTATTTTATAGCGGCCAAGTGCAAAAGTAGTGATGAATCTTTGTACCCCGCGGACGTTCCCACCGAAATGAAGACACTGATTGCTGGCATGGCATCAAGTTTCGGCTCATGGCAGCTGAAGAAACCAGCAAGATGCTGGACTACTGGAGCTTTGAGTCGTACCTTCTAAGAAGGTGGGACTGGGGGCCCAGGTGCCAGTGTCGGGTCCAGTCACAGCGTACCTGAGGATGTAACCATATGGAGCCCCGCATGCGTCGATCGAGGCACCTGTGCCTTCATGGCACCAGAAGTCTGGAAGGGATGCCTCTCGTCGAAGGCGTGTGGACGTGGGCGATGGACGAGGGGGTTCTGAACACCTTGGAGGGCGTGGCAGCCACGCTGAAGCCATTCTGTCGACTCGTTTAAGATACAACTGTTCCGAGTGCCACACCTCTTCAAGCCAACCGGGTGTCTTTATTTAATATCTAAGAGTCTACATGAGGTGCAAAACATCGTTTTCAAGACAGGAGCTTTTGGAGACGATGGCGCCATTGGATCGTTCAGCCTGTTCCAACGGTCCAGTCCTTCCAGCTGGGAGCAGCTCTCTTCCACGCCTCCCGATCGATCGGGTGATACGTTATTAAGTGAATCCCATTCAAACTGGGGGAAAAAGACCCGTTTGAATGGGATTCATGTGCTTTTTCCCGGCTCCTGGACAGGAACCTCCGGGACAACCTCCGTTCAAACGGGTGTTTTTGACCGGTCGCCGTCGGTCTGGAGGCAGACGTCTTCAGCTTGGGTGTGGTCTTTTTCCAGTGTCTCGGGCCAGATGGAGAGGAAAGGGGGGGCAATGGGCTTCCAAACACGGCACCGCTGTGGATGGTCGTGGTGGTCGTTATACTGTAGTAGTGTCGTTCATGATATTTCAAGGGGGCAGCCCGGCTCTTTGGATCACCAGTAAGGCTTCTTGAATTGATGTGCACATCTTGATGATGCGCTTGGGCTTTGTGTTGCAAATTCCATGCGAAGACACTATCACCCACTGGGCTTAACGTGTGGGGATCGACGGGGGTAGAGCCCTACATAGCTTGATGAGATTTGACCTGGAAACACAGCTCCAAGCAGAAAGAAATGGTGGTTCATGGTTCGTCCAATGATAGGAATCAGATGCTTCAAGTATGGAAAGATCATGCAGGAGCCGTTTGTGTTTGGTTGGGGGCTGTTATTTGTTTCAGGGAGGCAATCGCAGTTGACACCACAACCTTGTCCGGATGTCCGTTGGTATTTACTTGTGTTCACAGTGGACTGGGTAAAACAAAAATCATCAATCATCTACTGTAACAGCTATGCGCGATATCCAGTTGCTCATAATTCCTGGGCTGGGTTGCTGTTGGTTTATTTTGGTCAAAGAAAACTGATGGCCAATGTCAGTGAGGTACAGGTAAGGTGTCATGCAAAAGGTCCCGAAAGGTCTGCAAAGTGAAAGGTTCCAAAAAGTGGCTTAAAATGATGGGAGCTCAGAGCTCCAGTTAAATTAAGAGTTTAATGTCTATATAATTGTCACTTACTCAAAAGCAAACGTAGTATCCATCAAACAATTAAAACAAAAAAACACAGCAACAACCTTCATCAGTCCATCGTTTGCCACGGCCGAGGATGCTGGCTGGGAAGTTGCCCTTTAATCCGCCAGACACCATAGACCTGGCCCAGGAGAAGCGAAGACGAGAACCAACGAGTCAGTCGATTTCCTCGTTTGACATGTTCCGATATGTTGGAGGATGACCAGAGATCCTGATCAGTGCTTTTCTCCCCCTGCGGTAAGACACATCAAAGGTTGCCCACAACACACATTGCTACGTCCCTGAGTTCTTTTTTGCAAAGTCGAAGACTGAACCAAAGCCTGAGAAGTGTTCACATATATTATGGGTTGTAGTTTTGCCAAAAGGTTCAGGATTTGAACGTGTTCCCCATCCTAATAGTGGCTATAGTCTCTCCATGTCTCTCCAATCCATTCCCGACTTGGGATGCCAGGAATACTGGGCCATGGAGCCGTTGCCTCCCTGGAATGAAGTGCCGTACACAGCACCTCTGTGTCAAGAGGCCGTCGGGGCAGCTCGAGCGCATGCGCCATGGATGGAATAGTGGCATGACCATCAGGAGAGGGGATTGGATTTCCATGAATTCCTTCACATTTCCTCACAAGCAGGTAGGGGATTTGGTATACCCGTAGTCCTACATGACCGGCCTCATTAGGGTCATCCCGTCCAGTCCGTGCCAGGTCTGTGACTCCCTGCTGCAGGTGCCTCAGGCCTCACGACCTCAGGCCGAGGCGCGGGGACGAGCTCGTGGGAGCCAGAGAAAGAGCAGGGTGCTTTCAGGGCCGGTGGAAGGAAGAATGTGTATAGTGAATCACATGAAATCACCTGTAGCTCCCCAAAAACACACCCGGATTCCACGTGTCAACCTAGGTGATTTGGGCAGAACTTGTTCCCTTGATGTCGTCAGAATGTGTTGGGTTCTCCCCGCCCCGACTCAAACGAATCCCCAATCTGCAGAATCTTTCTCGACCGACCCTCAGATCATGTGGCTTCCCAGACACGACATCCATGGGACTCCCATATTATATGCCGATCAGTTTGCGTGGTGCGGTTTGGGGGGTCAATTGATCAGCATACATTCCAGTCATATATGGAGTGTTTGGGTTTTATTTCTGCATAGCTTCCACCATCAAAGATGATAAATAACAGCACATAGCTTACGTAGCAGTACCACACTCTCAGACCTGACCACACTCTGACGATACGCATGGAAGGGGATTGTATGGGACCCTGAAAGCCTGGATGGGACCCTGAAAGCCTGGGGATGCCATCCACGAAACCATGTGTTCGGACCTGAGTGCTACTGATGCACCGCTCGGTCCGCAGGTCGGCAGGTCGCTCGACCGACGAGGGATGGGGTCAGTCTTCGGGTTTCTCCGCCTGTACAATCGATGGTACACTCAGCGAAAGCCGAGCGAAACCATCCCATTAATGCAACAAGTGCATCATTGCTATATACATGTATACATACATATTATATATGCCTTTGCAGTTGGCCCTGCCCCGAACTGATTTAGGAGCGCCGCTGGAAGAACAACCAGTCAGCTGTTAGGCTGTACGTGGTGGTTTCACTTTGATCGCCACAAGCCCACTGAACCAGCTGTAGAATATTCCAACTCACACCAAGATCACGCCACAAAAGAAAGACCTGCAAAAGACAGGATAACAAGGGCACCTGGCACCCTGTAACTGTTGTGTTCCGAGTAGTGAAACCTGGAGGATCTCAGTATCAGTTGATGGACAGTGCATGTTCACAGGAAACAGTCGGACCGTTCATGGAGCTGGTCTTTCAAGTTCTACGCATGGGAAATTCGATGGAATTCCCATGTCCGACTTTTTTTCGGTACACTTGAATGATGACTATAGACTATAGACCAATACTGTTTTGTTGGTTGATGCCATTCTTAATTAGCTGATTTAGCTACTTCGTTAATACCCGGACTCTTTTTTTCGGAGTTCTTCTGGTCTTATCCAAGAACCTATACCTGGGTCCAGCGTTTCTTTTTTTCAGCACCGGACCCGTGTTGTCTTACGTGGTCACGTGTGTCGTCCACCGGGCGAATCCATGCGCGACGAGACTCGCCAGGAGCTTTTGCTTCACCCACTCTTCGCGGATCTGCACGAACATCATCCTGAGGCCAGTCGACAGTAAACAAAAAAGAACAAACAGACACGAGACATGGGATATGGGCATATACGGGCAATTAAATATGGATATATTATTTATCAATTTCTGTATTAATTATTATCCTGATATCTAATAATGTATAGACAGATATCAGTATAGGGTACGCGTAAAAGGACCGTGTTCACCACATTTGACATACAGTTACATTACATTCAGGTCATTTCTTGGTGGATGTTGTTCCACTGAAACTCCGCTGCGGTGCATGCCACCGGTGGCGAATCCTTTTCGTGTTGGGAGGAGTCCACCCATTATGACCGATTTCCAGGGATGGACCAAAATGATGCGAACATGTATGTATATATGGAAGCCGCAGGGGTGCAAATTACTTAGGTCACCTCCAAAAACGTACCTTTTCAACGTCGTCTTGTTTGAAAGCGGCGCAAATTTGGCGAGGCGAAAGTGTTTTGGATTTTGGTTTTGATGAAGAGCAGGTGCGGTTGAGAAGTGGCTTCAAGCTAAGAGAACACATCCATCAAACACCAGGGTTGGAAACCCTCTGAAAAACGATGTTTCAAGACATGTCATTTTTGAAACGGCAAAATCTCCCAACCAAACGGCCTAAATTCCCAACCAAACGGCGAAATTTTTTAGTGCTTTTTTGGAGGGTTTGCAAATAATTAGCTTGAAGGCCTTCCTGCGCATGTTCGGCGAGCTTCCAAGAGAACACATCTATCCCCACAGGCCTGAAATAGGCAACCCGCTGAAACGCAAGTTTTTTGTTGAAACGGCAGAAATTCTTCAAGCGGAATAAAGTTCTTGAGGCTGATGAGGCGGAAGAAATTGTGTACCAGTGGCGTCTCTAGGTATATCCACTCACTTAGGGACTAAACACCACCCCTTTGTGACTGCTGGTTATACAATTTTTGGTTCATGTTCTTCTTTTAAATCCCAGTTTAGAAGGCTTGGCCTCGATTTTTTCAGCTCCACCTTTGGGGTTCGCGACGCTCTCCCTTTTCGCGGCAGGAGGAGACGGTGGCCATCCCGACGCACTACGCTCAGCGCTTGGTGAATTTTGCGGGCAAAGATGCGCCTGGGACTCGCCGGACTCGTTTGGTGGAGCTCCTGGTGGAGCTCCACCAGCGGGTTATATATGTCTAGACTCGTGGGCGGCGCATCGACTGGTGGATGAAGAGTTGGTTCACTGTGGCACTCCTGAAAACTAACATGGAAGCTGAGAATGGCACCCTGAAAGATTGTTTTCCTTTAGCTGCACCAGTGGTTCTCAGGGTTCATTGTTAGTTTTCGGGTATGTATGTCCGTGTAGTCGTTGGAGTGCGGCGGAGAGTGTTCCTGAGTTTCTTCCCACTTCGTCCACTGCATCTGGGCGCAAATATGGAGCAAAGGCTGGAGGCGCTTCACTTCATGGCGCTTAAGCAGTGGCCGTGGATGTTTTGCATGTCATGTGTATTAATAGGGAGAACCCCCGAGATCTCGGCCCGTCATGTCTGAGTCTTTTCGTCTATTTTCCGAACTGAACCCAGGGTGGACGGTCTCCCTATACTTCAATACACGTCGACATTATATTTTATACAAACGCACATGATCTGTGACATGTGTCTTGCATGGTTGGGCCGTGCAAATGGTTGGTCCATGCCTGGTTCTTTCAACGCCCCGAACGAGCTGTTGGGGCGGCTCGGGTGGATGGGGGGGGCGCTGGTGGCAGCCAAGTGTTTGGGGGTGGTGTCCAATGATGTCTTTTGTTACACACCGTTCCCAATTCTGTGGCAGGGCATCAACAGCCAGTTGTTCTTTGTGAAGCATGTCATCACATCAGCTTCATAGCGAACGAGTCCCTGAACCAGCTTCCTCTCCCAAGACTTGAAGGAGTGTGTGTCTAAGTGACCGAACCAACGGTGATCTCAAAGGTTCGAAGAGCCAGGAATGAAGTCCTTTTTCATCCTTACCCTAAGGGTCCAGGAATATCCTGATGACGTCCTTTGGCCCCTAAGACCACTCTCAGGAAGCACTTTCACTTCCAAGACCATCCTCAGGATGGTCCTGGACCCTTAGGGTTATAGCTAAGCTTGGCTAGTCCATGGAAAACAGGGTCAGAGTCTTCGGCTCTCCAACCTCCTCCCGCCTCTCGCTCGTTCAAAGATGCCCCAGGTGCTCCAGAAATGCATGCGACTCCGCTTGGCACGCGCTTGGTCCTCAAACCAAATGCCCAGTTTCAGGCGATCCGAGAGCCCGAACACGCACCGCGTGCCAGGGGGCCTAATGGGCATGGGTGATAACAGTTCATGAGGTTTTGAGATGGTTTAGTGTGTTTTCTTTATGTTCAGCTTCTACCATGCAGGCGGGAGTAATCAAGTAACAGTTAAACATCACCAAGTTGTTTCTTTTTTCCAAGTGTTAGTTTGATTGTATCGGCTGTATTGGCCACGGGTCGTCCCATGGCTCTGAGTCCAGGAGCACCGTGCTCCACACCATCGCCGCCCTCCGTGCTCAGTCCTTCGCAGCCTCCGACCGACCGTCGCGGCCAGGCGCCTCTTCGTGGCCTTGGCGCCGCAGGGGCGCTTGCCGCCCGCGCGCCTCGTGGCGGCGCTCTCCTGCTCGGGCCTGGCGGAGCGCTACGGCAGCGCGGCGCTGGTGGCACAGGCGGCGCAGCAGGCGGCCGACGCGCTGGTGGCTTGGTGGAAGGGGGAAGGAGCTGCGATTTGTTTGAGTGGTTTTGGAAGTTGGCAAGGTTTACTTTATATAGTAGTCACAGTGAGTGTGTGGGCTTTCATCACCCAGAGCTTTCAATTGTGGGCCATGCTGGCTTACTGCGTGGAGTGTTTAGACATGTTGCTGTCTTTGGTGGGTGGGGTTTGCAAATAGTTAGTTGCTAGGAAATGCTAGGAAGGAAATGGAATGAATGTATCCAGATACTGATTGAGTTTCATGTAGTGTAGTGTTCACTTATGTTCACTTTGTTAAACTTAAACTTTGTTGAACAGTTTGCAGCTTTTGGAATTGAAAGAACTAAGTCCAACCCTGTTTGATGACCGATGATTCTGTTTAAGCTAATTGAAAGCATGTTTTGAGAAGTCTTGCGAAAACCTGTTCAGTCTTGAAGAGGATTAGCTTGGGAGATGAACTCATCAACCAGTATTTCATATATAAACTTAATTAATATCAATCAAGACGGAATGTTGCATTTTGGGGTGTCTATGACAATTGCATAGGAGCTCAAGATGAACCATCCACAGCTATGTACCAGTTCGAGATCTCAAGTATATAGTTGTATATCATAATTAAATTGTTGTTTCTGTTTCTCCGCAACGGACAACCGGTCTACAGCTCCGTTGCGACCCCATTTGGGGCAAGCGAAGATGGAGCGCCCGCTACGGTGGCCCGAGGTGAACGAGGAGGGCGCCATCAGCTTCACCCTTTTCGTGGCGGCTTTGGCAGTTGCTCGGTCACAGTCTGGTTGTGGTGTGGTGAAGGGTCTTTTGCAGGTTCTCATGGGTTTGATGGAAAGACTGAGAAAAACCAAAAGTCAGGCACAAGAATCAGGCAATAGAGGTAATTTAAATAGGAGATGTTCATGAAATGTCGCATCTGTGGAGCGCTCTGTTGGGATTTTTTAGCATGTGTAGATTTATGACTTGTATTTGATTCCGCTCTCCGGGATCTCTAAAAACCACACTTTAACACAATCATCAAAGCCAACAAGTGGCCTGATCGAGCATGTGAAACCAGGTGTTGGTTTCAGCATCCTCCGAATTGATAGAACTGTTGGTCAACTCATCAGGCCCCTTTTCAGGCTGTCAAGGGGGCCCATTTCTCTCATGGGGAGGCGGACCAGGAGGCAGGGTGTCAGGTCAGGTCAAGCAGATGTCAGACATCAAACGTGCAAGTTTTGGTTGCTTCATGGTCATGAAACGGGACATCCAACTGCTTTGGGACATTGATCCACAGGCTGGCACAAGCTCTTACCATTCACCAAACAAGCTCTTACAATTCACCAAGCTCATTCCGATTCGGTGAATGCTTCCCCAGTGACACTGATCTGGACCGGACGGCTGGCGAATCCGCTGTGGGGGGAGTTTTTCTCCCAGCGAAGACTGGGAGTGGTGAAGACCACGGAGCGGGTACCTCGGTAGACTCGAAGGTGGGTCCCCAAATGCGCCCTGCACCATGCACTGGATTACATGGACAGAAGGTTATTTAAATGCCTGTATTGGTTGCTCGCTTGGGGGTATCCCATCCATGAATTGGGTATAGACATTGGGTCTTTGAAGCTTTTCCAGTTGTTGTCATCCTTCGGACAAGTCGAGCAGGGCGTACCATGGCGTACCATGGCGTACCATGGCGCAGAACTGGTCGTTTGACAAGGTTGGTTCACCATTGCAAGGTGAAGCGGGCTTGGGTGAGGGGGAGAGGCTTTTGCCACATGGTGCCAATGAATTCCCTCACAACCCTGCAAGAAACAGATCAGATCACCATGGGTTTCCAAATAAAAGCTGGATCCAGGCTTCTGCAAGGAAGAAGGGTATTGTAAAGACAAGCAAATGACCGCAAGTCATACGGTCACACCAAGCAAGAGATTGCCAGTGATCTCAGAACTTCCCCACCACTACCATAGGGGCAAAATGAGTGAATGAGTGATTGATGCCAAACTATGTGGCTCACCCGAGGATTTGGGCGATCCAAAGTACGAAAACTTCCTCCTACAGAGCTTCGAGCAAGTCGCGGCTCGGACCGCAGCGAGGATGGGATGAAACTCCGATGCCCGTCCTGTACACCCCTTGAAACAATCGGACGTGGATGGGAATGGCCCCTTGGACCATTGGATGGACGGATGACCACACATGTGTCCGAAGACCAAACAGGTGGCCATCCACTTCCATGATGATTTGAGGTTGTGTACGACGCTTTGGACGGACACGCTGCAACGGGGGGGGTTGTGACCTGTAGAGGATAGGGGGGTTGGCACCCCCTCGACGGCTTTCATGTGAACTTCAATGAAGATCCAGGAAGATTGTGCCCGGAGTGGTTTCCGTTCGTTTGTGCGTTGCTCGTTGGATGGGCTCTTGGCAAGAAGTTCCACAAAAGAAACACGTTGGAATCTCCAAGTGCACAGTGGATTTCGACCGGGCCCTTTCCTTATCGAAAAGCATGTGGTTCGTCCAAGACACTCAATCTCGAAGCCCGCACTCATTTTTGCTGCCACTACTTCAAGTCTTCGCTCCTCCCTGAAGTCTCCTTTCCCACCAAAGGACAAAAAGAACACACCTGGAGGGTCTCCACCAGGGACCATCCTCCTCACCCTGAGGACCATGATGACGACAGTCTTCTGGGCATCGAGGCCAGTCAGTCGGTCCACGTCATGTCCAGCACCTGTTCGTGTTCCGTGTGGATTTTTGTCGGTGCGGAGGGGTGATGTTGGGGTGATGGGTGACAAAGCCATTGGTCTCTCCATCAGCCATGGAGGATGACACCTAGCTTTAGGGTTCCCTATTGGCCAATAGGGATTATTAATAATTTAAACGTCGTCAGCCTTGTCCTCCATGTGTTCCTTAATGTGTTCCTTAATGTGTTCCTCAATGTGTTCCTCGAGAAATAGCATCATCTATTACAAAATGGTCGTGAATAGCAGCTAAACATGCATCTCATGCAGCTAAACATGCATCTTCACGACTAAAATGACATTGAATTCCTTATTTTCACGAAGTAAAAGCCTATTTTCATCGATAAATATCACGATTAAAACGTCGTCAGCCTTGTCCTCCAAAGTGGTGCTACTACTAGAAAGCCTTATACCTACAACTAGAAAGCCTTATACCTACAACTAAAAGCCAACTAAAAGCCAACTAGTCCAAAGCTAACAGCCTACTAACCAAAGCTAAATCCTACTTATCCAACTATTGAGGCCATAGGGAACCCTAAAGGATTCCCTATTGGCTAGTACAGGGCCATAGGGAACCCTTTAGGCAAGAGTCATTTTGCGAGACTCCTGAGAAACATTGCAGCATGTCTCACTTACCTGCAACTTGGGAATTTGTTCGTTCCCAAGTTGGGCTCGTTCGGTTGAGTATGTGCTTTCCTAAAAAACCAGGGAGAGTCAGAGCCAGTCAGACTAAAGAGTTTCTCGAAGCTGATGGTCACCTTCCCGGTGACTGGACTTGATCCCCTGGTTTGAGCCTGTAAAAGATTGTAAAAGGTCACATATACCAGAACCTCCCTGCCAGGTCACCAATTGAAACCTGTTTTGAAACCTGTTAGGGCCCTTTCCAACCCTCCATTGAAAGGAGACCTGTTGGGTTCGGTGCTGGTAGGGACTTCCAAAATGAACAAGATCACATGGAAGGTCCCGGTACGGTCGAGGAGGACCCCTCAGCCTCTCGGTGAGGTTGTAGTCGTGAAAAGTCAGATGCAGCCTTGCAAACGTTGCAAACATCTTAGTTCAAATCCAAGCGGCTGGCGTTATCTGGCGTTTTCCCTTCACTGGAGCTGAGCTTGGAACTTGGAGGTTGGAACCATCACTTTATTTTGATGGATCATCCATGATGGGCTTTGTGCTTCTGCGACTAGTGAGAGTCTGCTTCTAGAGTTCATGCCGTATGCGGCTGGATTGACTGCTTCGGCGACTTCGTTTTCTCTCCAGGACTTGGCTGAATTGCTCTCTGCTGACATGAAGCGGCATGCCGTCCTGCTGCAGGAGACATGATTGGACATGTTTATTTCTCGATGTTTGGACAGCAAGAAAGTGAGTCATCAAATCCTCACAGCAATATCACCAGCATGCCAAATCAGAAGCTTCCATTTGGGCGGGGAATTAATTATTTTTTTGGGAACCTCACGACTTATATGGTATCTAACACCTATATACCAGGATCATCCAATGGGTGTCCAATAGACTACCCTACCCTACTTCCAGGTTTCCTGACAGGGCACCCGTTAGAAGTGCTAAGTACCTCTTGTTTGATGCCGAACCCATCACATAATCACCCGCCCACCCGACGCCAGGAGTTCATGGTTGCGTTAACCGGCACCTTGGACTGTCAGATGACTTGGTGAGGAGTTCCACGGCAAGACATGCAAACGGAGTGTTTTCATTTTTCTGGGTGGTCTGTCCGAGGTGTGTCTTCTCTTTTGTCCCGGCGTGGCAATGTTGCAAAGGACAAGGAGCTGTGTTTGGGTTCGGGTCAAACAATCTGAACAAACCTTTCTGTCAGCATTGTGATCCAAACACACCAGAAGTGGAGACAGTGCTAGTACAAAGACAGACTCTGAGAGGGTCCCTTATTGTTGTGAGAACAGAGAGTGAGACGCTCTAATTCGGTCAAGTCAGCAATCTTTGGAGAGCCTTTCCACAAGACCCTGCCTATCCACTAGAAGCTTGGAGCCCGTATCTTCGAAACTGCACCCCCTCAACATTTGTAACTTTGCAACCAACATGTTCAACTTCTCACGAACCAAGCAACCAACCAGTAAATCAACCAACATGAATGAGCTTCTCGCCCCATTCAAACATTCGCCGTGTCCACGGACGACGCGTCTTTTAGGTCATGCGTCGCCCGGCACCAAGCTCGAGTGGCGCCAGTTCCTGCGGCACTTCCAAAGCCGTGACGCAGCAGAGGCGGCACCCAGGCGCTGGAAGAGGGAGATCCACTGGGTATGGGTACAGTTGGTATGGAATCCATGGTTCTTCGAGCAGAATTCCGGCCAAATCCATTCTGCCTATTTTGAAAACCAAAGAGATGCAAACAAACATGCGTGACCAAATGATTCATGAATTCTCATAATTCACAAACATTCAAACAGGGGTCCCAGACACTCCATGGGACTGCCATAGGACTGCCAATCAGTTGGGGTGGTGCCAGGGGGGTCAATGGGGCGGCATATATGGCAGTCCCATGGAGTGTCTGGGAGTTCTTGCAATTGTGGGACCAAGTGTGGAGAGAGGAGGGACTCGGACTCGACCCTTTTCATGGCACGCACCGGCGGCACCCCTTCTTTGCGGCAGAAACGTCAAGAGACCTGCCTGCCTGGCCCCTAAGACCTGATTGGTGCAACGGGGGGTTGTTGGTAGAAACCCTGAAGCCGGCCATGGCGTGTCTCCCTTTGAACATTCTTGAAGAAACCCATGCCCTAGCCTTCAAAGATTAGTTAAAAGATGTTAAAATCAAGGTTGACCTGGACCTGGTACAAACAATAGTAAAACAATGGTTGTAAAGCCCATTAAATCAACGGTGGGTCGAATCCTGGGGCAGAGGTCGGAACTTTCTGGGCCCTTCCTCAGGTTCGGTGCGACTGGACCCAACCCTGGCGCCTACATCAAGAGTCCAAATCAGCTTCCTCAGAGGGTGCCCGTGGATTCAGTGGGCGTTTTGCGCTTTGCACCAAATCCACCAGTCCTTCCACCAGTCCTTCCACCAGTCCTTCCACCCAAACCACCCGGCCTTCCGACTCCAAGACCACTCCCCGACGGCACCGGCAGGGAAGCCTCTGAGTCACGAGCCTCAGCGGCGTCGCACGTCGGTCGGAGCTTCGGAGCTGACGACCGGTTGGTTGGAGCGTTGGGTGAGGCAGTTGTGTCAACCTGGGTGCAACTCCCAGCAAACCCTGACCTGTTGGGTGTGGAGGAACATTCTTCATGTCAGGCAGTTGTGTCCGGATGGGACTTCGGGCAGGACTTGTGTGGGCATGAACCCGACGGTGTCGGCTCCCGACCGACCCGTCGCTGCCCGACGGCTTCTCAGGTCGCCGGAAGCTCCTGACGTGGCCAAAGGCGGGGCCGGTGGCGAGCAGGTCAGGGCGAAGCGGCGGAGCGGTGAAACCCCGGGGCCCTGGGAGTTGGACTGAGCATGTTCTTGTGTTTGGTTTGGACAAACCATAGGGTGCCGCTTGTTTTTTGACCCACTCCCATGAACCACTGCGACGCACAAAGAAACGCCCCAAATTGGCTGCTGGAACTGAGGAAGTAATCATAAGTAATCATACCCTTAAAACTCCTGAAATGAGATAATACTGGGTCCGCTTGTAAGACCATGCATTTGTTTTTTTTGTGGATTGCGTGATGCTTTCTTTCCCCTGTCCAACCCCGAAACAAGCTTGGGACGTTCTGACAAGAAATGCCGCATTCCTGGCAGTTCCGGGACAGCACACAGCATAGCATGCATAGCACAGCGTATTTGGTGATGTATCACCTTCGCTCTCGTGAGTTGAGTTCCAGGATGTTCCGTTCCAGACTTCTTCCTTCGACACATTGCTGTGTGTACAGTGTACAGCAATGCTGTTTCTGCAAAACAAAGAACACATTGTCCCATTATAATGCCGTGATGATATGCCTTTCATATCTTCGAACAATCACAGGTGCCAAATTCAGATCCCTCTGCATGTCCTGTCCTCTTCTACATCACCCCAAAAAGCAAGCGCAACCAACCCCCTGCAGACCCGGGACCTCGCGGGTGTCCGCCGTGGACGCCGAATCGGCAGGGCCGGACGCCTTCTTCCAACACTTCGCTGGGACCCTGCTGGACCGCGCAGTGGAACAGATGCACCGGGCTGAGGCGAAGGGCGCGAAGCGGGCGCAAGGGAGGCTGGCAGCGACAGGAGTGTGGACAGTGAACGACCTGAAGGACCATGAAACCAATGAGCCTTGGCGATCAATCACGCTAATATATATATATATATATATACACGCTAATATTTGGTGTGTTTCTTGGTGGCGCAAAGACTGCAAAGACTGTTAGCCCAAGTGATCTGAGTCCAGAAACATCTTAAGTCCCATTTTTTCTACCGTACATTGACATGTTTTGCTTTGAAAGTTTCACCATCAAGGCGCCTTCTGGTGCCATCCAAAGGAAGGGGGTGGCACTGTGCCCCACGATCGATCGTCACTGCTCCCAGGTCAGGTCCCTGAGAGGTGCGCCGCGCGGGCGTGCGCGTCGGCGTGGAGGGCGTGGTGCTGAGAGCTTTCGATGTAGACGACGTTCGACCCGTACCAGACGAGTCTCGTTCTGAACGACCCGTTTTTGATCGCCAAGATCACCTAGTACTGTGCCACATACCCATAGTTATACTCTGGACTTGGGATGCTGACTTCAACAGCTGGGAATCTGGGAAGATGAACTCAGGGAAGATGTGCCACGGGAGGTTGCACGCAGCGCAGCAGGTTTTGCGGCGCCTGCCCAGACAACCCACATCCGGCTGGCTGGCTGGTGGTCCAGGCTGGCCATGAAAAATATTGAAAAGGTTGAAAAGGTCAATCTTCCGAATTGGATTGTTGTTTGCGAGCTCCTCATGTGTCAACCACTGTATTGTGGGTGTGCAAGATTTGTTGCTCAGAAATACCAAACAGCTACCTGGCGTATCTAACTGCTGGCGTTGGTGGCAGTTTGGTCATTGTCAGATTTCCCTATTGCTCAACTCTCAAGGTTCGCAAAAGGAGCTATAAGGAGAGCAGTGCGAGGAAATCGCACCATGCAAACCACCGTGCCAGGTAGCAAATCGCTGAGCGAATTCGCATGGCCACAGCGAGGGCGGAGGGCCTTGTTTTTTTGCAAATTTTTGCAAAGCGGCGGGCACTGAAACGGAACCCAAAAGTCGGAAGTGGAATTCGGAAGCCTTGAAAATGACCAGTTGCCTTTAAGATCGCACCTTTTGGGTCAGATGGATCGCACCTTTTGGGTTCAGATGTCAGTTGCCCCATCTCTTTTTCGGCCGTGGCTTTTTGCTCCGTCGATTGGACGCGCACGCAACGAAGCTGTTTTTTGGCCGCAGAAGCTTCGCAGAAGGGGTGAGTGAGGGTGCAGCGAGACATTGCTCAGATCGCTAAGGAATTCGTGCCCTGGACAATGCAAAGCAATGTAGGGTAGTCCATTGGACACCCAGACAGGATGGTCCTGGTAGGGATAAACATCTGGTGAGTTTTTGGGGTTTGCGGACTCTAAGAACAGCATTGGATCCATTGCAGCCACAACAGGTCTGGGCTCTTTTACTGCTGAACGTCCTGTAATTCATAGAAATTTTCAATCTTTGCCCGACAGCAACAAGAACAACCAAAAGCACCCTGTTTGCATCTATTTGCGTATACCGTATATCTACAACATGTTTTATATATTATTGTTCTTAATCGCTCAGCCCTGCCGCGCTTTGGAATTCGCTGAGCTGCTTTTTTTCGATATGTCAGATCTGACTGTCGCGCGAGCTTTGGGTGCAGGCAAAGCGAGCCGAACTGGGCACCAAGTCTTGAGAAGATCTCGTGTGGGTGACCTGGGTTCAACTCGTGGCAACCTACGGAAGATGTTGGGGACTACATTTCTTCAAGAATGTGTTCGTTCAGCCGGGGATGTGAGGAGGGATGTGCTGTGATGTGCTCCCTTATTACAAGGAGTGTTTGAGGAGTCACTCCTTGAGCACTGTGTAGTTCTAAGACCTGTTTGCCTTCAGCACTTACGAAGCGGTCCAAGGATGTTGGAGGTTAGAGTCAGCGTAACTGAAAAGGTACACATAAGGTAAACAAGGTTCGTCTCAAAAAGGATTGGAAACACAAACCACCCTCCAGGAGAACTCATTCACCCTTCCGGGGTTCCCCTTTCATCAGCGCGCCGCTTGCACTGCTTGCACCGCTTGCAACTTGACCGGCCTGGAGGGGGAGCGGAGCACTTGGTGACAGCGCCCCCCCCTTCGATCTCGCGGTTTTGCCGGTGCGAATTGGCTTGCCTTCAGGATTGAAGAGAAGCTCTGACTAGATATGGTAGGGCCAGAGAAAAGGGAGATCAGGGCTGGAATATCCTGGAATCCCAAGCTGAAAGACATGTTTGATTCAAAATTGTTATTCAGTTCAGCCACTCTATGTTTTTGTGGTACTGTAGATTCCGAACAGAAACCGTTGTTTAAAAGGCAATCGTCCAAACGCTCTCTTTTTCCAGGGGATGGTTGGGGCAGTGTGGGAGTCAGAGTCTTGCTGCGATGATGCGCTATATAAGGGCAATATTGCTGGATTATCGTGCACTAGGAATAGATCATTGATGGCAAAATGCTTAAACTTGGAAGATGTGACCATACCATACCCCACGATGGGGACTTGCAGGGATGGTGCCAAGGATGGTGCGAAGGAACTGGGAACACACTGACCAGATTTGGGTGGGCGTGTTGTTTGCATTTGAAGGTGGACTCTGGGTAAGAGATGTAATAAGAGGACATGCCAAAGGTAGCAATTCAGGTCAAGGAATTCATGGAACATCGCTATGAGGTTGGAGGCCATTGTTATTAGGTTGAAATTCCTTCATCTTCAGCCAGGCTCGCGACCCATGAGCATCTTGACTGAACTTGGGTATACGGCCGCGGTGGACTTTGGCCGCGTTGCTCGTCGGATGGCCGAACGTTGAGCCATTCCCAGCGGTTCCAAGGGGTGCCGAACGAACGGAGGGTGCCATGCGGCCCCTGTCACATTCACTCACTGGTCATGGGACTATTACGTACAAACAATTCCTTTGGAACTGCTGGTCATGGCTTGGTCAGAGACTAATTAGATACAAATTAGGATAATTAGGTATACTTCGCCAACATCAAATCCTTTGACCAGCCCACCCACTGTGCAGTCATTTGATTCAAGAAGCTGAGTGGAGGAGAGGGCTACAGCAGTGCAGCAGAAGTAGGACTTTAGATGATGAAGCCGGACTGCAGATGAGAATGTTAGCAGGGCCAGGGCTCAGGGCTCAAGCTAGCGGAGAAATGGCGAAACTAGATGAAACTAGAATAAACTATAGGATCAGTTTCGATCCTTTCTTTTTACAGAATCATGTTTGACCCTACTAATTGTGTAAAACGGATGTCACACGGATGAACACCTCCCAAGGCGAGGCACACCGCGACTCGCTGACGGACGTGTGGCGCTTCATGGAGGACGTCCACGTGTGGCGCGTGTGGCGCGTCGCTTCGCTTCGGCTGGAGGATGGTGGATATCCACCGTCCCTGCCATCCATGACTGGAGGATGGTGCCAACTGGAGGATGTTGTTTTTGTTTGTTCCAAGGGAATTCTGCGTGGATGCATGCGGCAATGCAGATGGATGAATGGGGGATATGGTCGATCATTTTTGGGGGTGATGTCATGTAGGCTGTGGAGATTCCCACAAGTTCTGGTGGAATGGTGTAGCAGCTAGTAGCATGTCCTTCAGGTCGTTGTGATGTTTGTTTCAGGGTCCAGGGTCCTGTGATTGTGCAATAAGTTCATGCAGGAAGATGGACACCCTGTGTTGCCTGTGAAACTTGAGGGAATTTATCTAGTTGACTCAGGGACATTCAGGGGAGTTGTGCCATGTTAGCGCAGCTGTTCTGGGATATTCAGGTGGGTCGGCCCTGGTGTGATTCATGTAGATTCATCAAGAACTTGGGCTGTGAGATCAAATCCCTGACCCTGCAAATTCATAGCCGCAGGGTTTTAGTTCTTAAATGGAGGGTCTCCAGACACGATTTCTTGTCAAACCATACTCTCAAGGGCACAGAGTCATCCAGAGTCTGGAACAAAAAAAACTTACTGACAACATGGCCAACATGTGGTTTGGTGGTGCTTTCCTTAAGTTGGGTACATCATGGCCATGTCCAAATATCTTGGCATCGACTCCAGGACGGCCTGTGTTGTCCCAGTCCCAAGATGAATTACCCAGAAACTGTTCATTTCTTGTTCCAATAATGTTCAATATGTACTGTATTATACTGTCTTGTTTGTTTCTATTATGGCTTTCGAAAGAGATCCTTTACACGGAGTAGCTCCAAGCTACTTGGGAAAGATGATGGCCACGCCTGAGGGTTTTTGAGTTTATGCATACCATCAATATATATATTCTCATTTTTTGTCAGAAGCCACCGAAACCTGCAGAGAAGTTGGCTCACAGACTTTTTTTCGGAGTGGTCGCCGCCATGGACCTGCAATCTCTGGCCGTGTTCACAACTCTTGAAACTTATCTCAGGCGGGTTTCCACGTGATTTCCGTGCTAGAAACTCATGGAGATTTGATTTATATTTATTATCTTTGGTGCCTCGATCTTCAAGGGCCTTAGATCATATGACTGCTGAAGCAGCGAAGATGTGGACAGCAATGGACAACCAGATTTGGGACAGTAACTCGTTGGTCCTTACTATTGGTTTTTGAGGGCTTTGGATTGTTTTAATGTTCTAAGTTTCGCCAATCCACTATAACCGTTTTACTTTGAGAAGACCATATGTTGACAAATGTTCAATTTCAAAACATAGTGCTTGAAGCTGATGTAGTGGTTTCGTTTTCCACCATGTCAGGCATCCTTTGTACTTTTTGGCAGATCACAATTGAGCAATTCCCAAGAAAATCCTCTGAATCTAGGTGCATTGGGATTGAAGCAAAGATTTCACAACATCTTTTGTTTGGCAGCATTGTTTTTTATCGTCGACCCCCCGCTATTCGGATCATTTACCGTTCCTGGTTTTCTGACGGGGTGTCTCCAGAATTCCAATGTAGCTACAAAAGAGCCTTCCGAACAGTGATCTGAGGCAAGGCACTTGTGCATTTGTTACCCAGTACCTTGGGCACAAAAAGTTATAGGGGGTAACCATCAGATGGCATCCTCTGAGACCCTTTGATATGCCATCCACTTATGATCTAGGCGCCCGACGTGCCATCAAGTATTTGTGCCAAGATAGCAGAACATGTAGATGGCATACACAAAGGCCAAGGCCCAAAACCACTAAAAAAGATGCAACCAAACGTCGCCAAATGTCCTTTGATATTTGGAAGGCACGTGCACAAAAAGGGAATAGTTGATGGCACAGGCCAGAATGTCACTTGTGTGGGGCGACTTCGGGTAAATCGCCACAATGATTCCAAAAAGGAAAAGGGAAAAGGCAAGGAGCAATGGAAGAAGGAAGGTAGGAGACGAAAGAAGGAGATAAGAGGAAGGGGAAGAGAGAGAGAGAGAGAGGGGAAGAGAGAGAGAGAGAGGGGAAGAGAGAGAGGGG